TCTTGACACACATGCAATCGCTGCAGCAGCAACAGCAACAACAAACGACACATCCTTTTGCTGTTTGCAAGCAGGGAAAAAAATCGCTTACTAATTTCCTTCCTTCCTTTTTGTTGTATAGTTGTTGTTGTCGCTACTGTTGTTGTTGTTGTTGGCTGTGTGCTCAAGTGGCGCTGACCCAGTCAAGTTGCATCGCAGTCGCTGCAACCGCAACTGTTTAATTGTTGCAGCAACAAACTGTGTTAAGTTTTGACCCCAGGGCGCCAACACTTTGGCGTGTGTCCGGGTTGATTAGCTCACCTGGTCGCCTGCTACCTGCAATTAGTCACAGTTAACACTTGTGCAAAGCTTTGCCGTTTCTTCTTTGCTTAACTTGTATTTTTTTTTTTTTTTTGGTAACAATACAGAGAGCACACCTTTACACATTTACACAGACATTCCAGTGACGTGTCACTTTGATTTATTGCTTACCTAGGTTTACGTACTTTTTCAGTTTTTCACTTTTTCTTTGTTATTATTTGTCGGCACTTGAGGCTAGTTTTGCTGCTCTTGAACAATCTAATCGCCTGACCGGCAGAGCCAAGTGGCCACTGAGATGGCAAATGCAGATTTTGATAAGCCCATCGCATTGATAAGCAGCAACGGGCGCAGCAGCAATGGCCAATGCTGCCAAATGATATATGGGGAATTGAAAACACTTGTCAAATTATGTTTTTTGTGGGTAGAGAATTTTGTATTGATAGAGAAAGTGGTCTATGGTCATATGAACCTGTCAGTCTCAAAAGGGAGATATAAACTTGAATTCCAAGTTTGTTTGTCTGACTCGGCAGACTTAGTTTTTTAGGTCTTTGTCAGTCTGGGTGTCTCTCATATCTGTCTGCTCGTACATATAATCGCAGTGATCTCATAGCCAAGTAATTTTGCTGATTAGAGGTCGAGTACTGTCTCTGAATATTTCCTCAAGGACTGTTGGCATGTTGAGGTCTCTAGGGATGACTTGATTGACAATATATGCTTCTACATTCATCAGTCTTCATATTAGATTCAACTCAAACCTAGATGTGTTCTGTTTCAACATCCTTAAATAAATCCTTAAATATTTTCAATATTTTTACCTTTTTCTTCCACATTTTATGAATCTTTGATTATTTCAACTATTTTATTTATTTTAAAATTTACATATTTTTACATATATTATTCTTATGCAATATCCGCTAAACCAACATCGAAGCTAAGCGTGATCATTGGGCTAACTACAACATTTTATCCGCTTTTTAATTCTGCTGTTTTCTGTTGATTAAGAACTTTTATTTTGATAAAAAATAAATGAATTATTCACTTAATATATCTAATACTATTTTGTATTTATAAATATCTCAATCCACATAAATTTGCAAGCATTCGAGATCTTTAAGCAACGTCGTCTGCCCCTGCCTCCTACCCGCTCTTCCATGCAGCAGCGCTCATAAGTATGCTATAAATTTGTAATTCAAACGTTTGATGAGCTGCCGCTGTCTATGATGTCCTGCTGCGTGTGCTGCTACTGCTGCTGCTGCTGTATTTGTATCTTTGATGTGCTATCTATAAGTTAAGCTCCTATTGCAACTCAATATTTTCTTCTTCCATTTGCATTGAAATGCGAAACGTATCGAATATTTGAATTAATTTGAATTTAATAAGCTATGCACACTCACGCACACACACACACACACATACACACACACAGCGTACACACGCTTTAATTGCCAGCTGCCAGGCGACGCTTCAACACTCCCAACTGCCCCGCCCACCTTATTTGCGGCCCGCCCTCGACCCAGCCGCTAAGCAGCTTCAATTATTCATGTTTTCGTGCTATTCTGTGACGCATTTCTCTTCTTTGTCGTTGTTGCTGCTGCTGTGGTTGTTGTTGTTGTTGTTGCTTCGATGCGGGTCCTTATCATCATTTAGAGGTTGAGCTCCGATTTGTATTCGTTTAGTTTTTGTTATCGTTACGCTGCCCCTTCGCTAAATATATGTATGCATATACATATATATGAGCTGAGTAACATTCTCATTTCATAGCCGCAGCCAAGTGATTTAATGACTTATAAAGGTACCCATATCAACGGCTATCGGCCTCGACAGAGATCTCCGTATTATACACTCGCTGGCCATCAATATCGAGTCAATAGATTTCCTGTTAAATGTCAATATTTGTCGTTTGACCCAAAGGTCGTAGGATTGATTATGTATTTTAATTAAGATATCAACTTTTTTCCGGGTTTTGTGTAACTCAAAGCTCAATTTTGTTTGCATTGCGTGCAGCGAGCTTAAACTAAGTATTTGAAATAATTTGGATTTGATAATAGCTAAGAGTTTGGGAATTTTAAAAAGTTTTTACGGGATATGTATATCACATATATAATTAAAATTTTATGCCCTAATCAAACAACAATTTGTGGTTAAATTTTTATAAGGAATGTTGGGGTTAAGCAACATATTCAGAGTATAGTAGTTTTCAATATATGAAAAAATATATTTAATAATTTTGTTATACATTAAACTAATCAAAACTTTTTTTTTTTTAATTTGGCCCTTAAATGAAATAAAATATAAATATATATATTTTTTTTTCAAGTTCTAGATTCTCAAGACATTCACAAATACATTTCTTCAACATATAAAAATAATACATATTTACTTATATCAAAGTTCAAGTTCTATCATTCCAAAATTCTCCTACTGACTCTCCATATTCCACACTTTTCTGCACACATCTTTCGCTCACATCACGTGTGCTACTCCATTGAAACACAATTTGCTACCTGACGCACTTCATCAAACTAATTATGTATCTTAATTGCTTTTGGATAGCACTCGAAACTATTTTATTTGCTTTCGATAGTGGGTGTGTGGGTGTTTATGCGTGAAAGAGTTTATAAATTAGTTTGGCGTGGGCGTCTTTGTTAGCTCCCTACATTGTGCAACGTTGCGTATGCGTAATGTGAATTGTTATAGCAAGAGAAAATGCAGTGACTAAGTTTAAAACTAAATGACTAACTAGCCAAACTATATATACAATATATACATATATTGTATATATAAATATATTGCATTTAGTAAATCGATATGTTATCGAGTTATTGATACACATACAGCGACCCGAAACCTCTTGCGTCTTGCTTACTTTTATTTCAATAATAATGACATAGCATACAAAACGCACGCACGCTCCACATAATCATTGTTGTATCGAATTTTTTCGGGTTGTGTCCTGTTGCCCCATTCGGGCTGTACGTCAAGGTTGAAGCTCTTACCCCAGCTGTGTGTGGCAGGCAGGCAAGCAAGCAGGCAGGCCAGGGTTGAAAGCTGAAACATATTGCGTAGGTCGTCATTGTCGTTGTTGCTGTTGTTGTTGTTGTTCGTCTTATTGTTGTTGCTGCGTGAGGCTCGCTCGTTTTTAAGCAAACGTTGCCTTGGCAGCCACGTTGTCCTGGCCGTAGGACAAACAAGCCAGCAACACACATAGAAAGAGAAAGTGTGAGTGAGGAGAGTTGATGGTAAAAAAAAAAAGGACAAACGACAAACGGGAGGCAAGCGGAGCAATTGAAATTCATCTGCCTCGATTTCCGGCACTCGCACTCGGAAATTTGCGCTTTCCCGCCGTGGCAAGTCCTGCGTGGCAAGCAACAAGAATTGCCATGTTTACACAGTAGACACACGCACACATACAGAGAGTGTGTGAGTTCGTGTGTGTGTGTGCGTGTGTGAGTGTGTGTAAGCTAATGGAGACTGCTCTAAGATGTTAGTCGCGTTTTTCAGCCACGTGCCTTGGCAGTAGCCGCAGGCGTCTGTTTTTATTTTATATCCTGTAGTTGAGTGCCCCATCAAATGGGTATATTGAAGTGCCCCGAATGTACATTTAACAGCTGGAAAGTAGCGTGCTAGATGGCAACAGTTGCTTAACATAGCTATTAAATGTTAACAGAGTAACAGCAGCATCATAGTAATTGCTTGAGAAATATTGAAAGTAGCAATAACAGCTTTAATATATAGCAGAAAATGATAGTGTTAATTTAACATCTGTGTATAACAGTTGCGAATAAAAGGCTTTCTGCTTACCATAACATAACAGCACTGAACAACTTTAACAGAGGATTGCAAAGTAATGCCTATGTTAACTTGATATAAAAGGAACTCTCCTTTAGTTGGAAACGATTTTATGGCAACTAACAGTGCTTATCATCTATGCATTGCAACATATTATTTATGTGCGATAAGTTCAGATTTGAAGAACTGAAAAGTTGTATAAGATAGGAATTAATTTCAATAATATAATTTTCCCGCGCATTGTTTTAATTTCTATTTTTCTTTTAGAAACAAGTCTAAAACTTTTTATTTTATTTTTTATTTATTTATTTATTTTTTTATTTTTGCCTTGAGTTTGCCTTGTTATGCTTTGATGAATACCTAATGTAGAAAGCGTGGCCCATTGTGGTCGAGCGTAGGTGGGCGTCCCTGTTAGTATGTGTGTGTGTGTGACACCTGAAGGACATCAAAGCGTACGCATAGGCGAACGGTGCTAATCACGCGTGAGAGCGTGTCCATCGAGCCGCACTTTATAAAGGGCGAAGGCTAGAGCCAAGGCAAAAAAAAAAAAAAATAACGGTATAAGGGATTTGCAATGCCAACGCGCAGCAGAGCATCAATTAATTCAAGGAATCTGGCTAATGTGGCCAAGTCAGAAAAAAATAAATGGGTCAGCTGCTGGAGCAATGTGTTTAGACTAAGATAGGTGCATTGAACTTTCGGCACGTGGCCAATGAAGCGTCAACAAGTTGCGCCACTGCCTGCTCAGCCAGGCGCACCTTTTGAAGTCAGCGGGCAAATGGGTTAAGCCCGAGTTGAATCGTCTAGCGATATCTGGCTGGCCACAGATAATAGCTGCCCAGTCACCATATTTGTACATGCATATGTATATGTAAATTAATGTATTCATTATTTTTCTCACTCTTTTGCAGATACCTGAGAATACACTTTACACTGCAACAAATAAATATATTTATATATACAATCACCAGAGCAAACAATAAATAAAAACAAGCGAAAAGAAAACAAACATTTTGCCGTTTCGAGAAGCCGTCCAGCACTTATATACAGACTATATATCTCTATAGATCAGAATAAATATATATCTATATATATATATATAATATGCCCAACGTTTGCCACAGCAACAACAGCAACAACAACAACAGCAGCAGCAACAAGGAGTAAGCCTAACTGCTGCCTCACATCTGAGCCAGCAACAAAAAAACAACAACCACACCAACAGGAAGTGGAGCAAACAACAACAACAACAACATCAATAAGGAAATATTATTATTGTCAACAGCATTTGGGTGTATCAAATCGAAATCTGTTGCCATGGGTCGCAAAAAAATTCAGATTTCACGCATCACCGATGAACGCAATCGACAGGTGAGTCAAACGTTGCGTATGCTTAATATTCCGGGGAGGGAGTACACGAAATATTAAAGCAACTGCGAGTTTTCTTGTCGTAAAAAGATAGCCAATGAATGCCTAGAAATTTATTAATTAAAATCGTTGAAAACAATTCAAAAGGCTTCAACTAAATGAAGAACAGGCGGAAGCACTCCAAATGAACCTAAAATTGGGCTGAACTTGCGCTAAAGTTTGAGAAAATAGTTTATGAAAAATTAATTAAAATATTTGCATATCGAGAGTATGAGTGTGGGCAACTGTGAACTAGTTCTGATTCTTTACTGACTATTTTAAATAAATATACTGTTCTCAAAGATCTATTCTTAAAGCACAGTTTGTTGATATATGCCTAGAAATATATAGTTCTCTAAACAGCTTCACTAGTTCTTTAATTTATATTTTTCTTTAAGAATAAAGTTCGCATTTCAGTTCTTAGTTCTGCTAAAACCAGTTTTGATAACTAGTAGACTCTGCATATCTATAGCCTAGTTCGCATATAATGTTTCATTAGTTCAATTCCCGTGTAAAATTTTCTCGTTAATGTTCAATGAACTAGTTCTAATTGATACACCTACACAGACACACACACTGTAACAACCCTTTAGCTTTGTTCTAACTGTTGCTTTGCCTCAAACGAACAATTCGCTCGGGCCGTGTGCGTGCTTTGGTGATTGAAACTCTTTCATGCAGAGGACATTGGCGGCATTGTAAAGGTTAATGCTTAACCAAGTCGTAAACGCGTCATAACTGATGGCCACAACAACAATGCGGTTGCCCTCTTGCCTTGACTTGGCCATAATCGATTCATTACCAATCGCTGTCAGTGCTGGTCTATGAGACGAAGCCTCTAATTACATTTCCCATAAATATTTGAACAGCCAATTGTGAACAATTTTGTTGGCTCGCTTTTGTTTCTCTCGCTCACTCTCTCTTTCTCTTTCTGTGTGTTTCTCTACCCCGCAGGTGACCTTCAACAAACGCAAGTTTGGCGTTATGAAGAAGGCCTATGAGCTGTCCGTGCTGTGCGATTGCGAGATAGCGCTGATCATCTTCTCGTCCAGTAATAAGCTCTATCAATATGCCAGCACCGATATGGATCGTGTATTGCTCAAATATACCGAATACAATGAGCCACACGAATCGCTAACCAACAAGAATATCATTGAGGTAAGTTAATTAACTGTTTGCATTTACTAATCGTTAAACTCGGTTCTCGCTAGAGTGATTATTACTCGTTACTTTCAATTGTCAATTGTCGTTATTTCGATAATTGATAATCGTTATATTTAGCTCTCGGTATACTTCCTATGTAATACATTCGCTACGCACCGTAACGACTTTTATTGCATCTACTCGTTACTTGTTTTCGCTATCCGTCATAAACGTTATTACTGTTACTCGTTACATTACCTACGGTTGAAATACTTGGAAGATCGATATACTCGCTACAATCGCTACTCGGTATGGTCTCTACTCGCTACAGTCGGTACTCGTTATAGTCTTTACTCGCCAGTTCCAATACTACACACTCGTTACTCGCGAAACTCGTCACTCGCTATGAACTCTACTCATTGTAATTGGCGCTCGTTACACGCGATATTCGCCTTTCATGTCTACTTTGTGTATCGCTCGCTGCTTATACACAGTTATCGATATTTATCGCGCGGCGCTTGCATAAAATTATGGAAAGTCAAGTGAACTGTGAAAAGCGCAGCAGCCACGCGGAAAATACAAACAAAACAATAAACTAAGCAACAACAACAGCAGCAGCAGCAGCAACAACAACATTAAGCAGAGCTATGCAACTGAGCAAGCAAACGTTTTTCGTTTTGAGCCCTAACAAAGAGCTTTGAAGGGTCAGGCGGAAGCGCCCGGTGGGACGCCAATGAATTTTGCATTTCTAATGCGGACATTGTCGCGGCTCTTCTTGGCGTTGTTGTTGCTGCTGCTGTTGTTGTTGTTGTCTTTTGTTTGCTGCCTTTTAAATTGTTTTGTAATGTTAATGCCGCGCAGAGCGTAGACAAGATTTACATAATTTAGCACATCAACGAAGCGGCGACGTGTCAAGTGCCAAGTGCACCCCCACCCTAGTCTCACTCTGTCGCAGCCAATTACCACTACACAAATTTCTCTCACACACGCATAAACACACTCACTCACCCACTCTCTCCCTCTCTCTTTCTCTCCCTCTTTCTTGGTCTGTTTTGTGTGTGTGCCGTTGTCATTTGCAGAAGGAGAACAAAAACGGCGTCATGTCACCGGATTCACCCGAAGCGGAGGCCGACTATACGCTAACACCCCGCACCGAAGCCAAATACAATAAGATCGACGAGGATTTTCAGAATATGATGCAGCGCAGCCAAATGAACATTGGCGGTGTTACGGGCGGCGGCGGCGGCGGAGGAGGAGGCGGCGGCGGTGGCGGTGCACCAAATCGACCCATGCCAAACGCGAGCTACACGCTGCCAGTATCGGTGCCAGTGCCAGGCTCCTACGGTGAGAATCTGCTGCAGGCCAGCCCACAAATGTCCCACACAAACATCAGCCCACGTCCATCGAGTTCGGAGACGGATTCAGGTGGGATGTCCTTAATAAGTTAGTACAGTGTCTCGGGTGCACAATTTTCTTTCATTTATTACAATTTCTGTTACTGTTTCCGTTCGTTTACTGACTTTTTTTTTTAACTATGAGCTGAGCTCGTTGCGCGCTAATCGCTGCTCGTTGCTAGCTACTCGCTACAAGTTACTCGTTACTCGTTACTTTATTATTTCATATTTTGTTTTGTCTTGCCTTTTGATTTTAATTTTTTTTTTTTTTTTACATTTACACACCAAGTGACTCCAACTCTACGCAGATAGCAGAGCTAACTCGTTACTTAATTTTTTTTTACTTTTTGCATGCACAACTCGTTATTTAGGCAGATTTAACAACTATTTTGGGTCCTAGTTTCTTGAACTTACCTCTAATACTGCCTGCAAATTGTTTTTGTTTTTGATTTTCAATATTGTTTTCCCCCACTTCTATTGTGATAAGAAAAAAAAAAAACTATTGCATATCTATATATTCTTTATATATTTCATACATCAGTCTATCCATCGGGTACCATGTTGGAGATGTCAAACGGTTATCCACATTCACATTCGCCGCTTGTGGGATCACCCAGTCCAGGTCCCAGTCCTGGCATAGGTGGGCATTATTGACAATATTCATATTACAATAAGGGAACCTAACACACACACACACTCACATAGAGACACTTACTCACTTACATACACACACCCAAGCAAACACACACACACATATCACACATACATAACACATACAATTAGCTGAGTTTTTAGTCAACTGTTACACGCCCCCTCTTGATTACTGTCCCCACCCCACCCACTGTCTCCTCCACTTGGGCGCACTTAATCACAGTGTGTACGGTGGATCATCAGCCTAATCTCTGATATATGTACTTAACAATTAATATACAAAATGCTTGCAGCGCATCATTTGCCCATTAAACAGCAATCGCCGGGCAGCCAGAATGGCAGAGCTTCCAATTTGCGTGTCGTCATACCGCCCACCATAGCGCCGAATATGTCGGCGACAGCGGACGATGTTGCCTATGCAGATGTAAGTTGTGCTCTATTTAAGCTCTAAACTAAGTGTTGGAAAACAGAAAGTAATATGTGGACTTATTAAGTTGCAGTTAGGGTAGGAAAAGTGAAAAATTTTTTAGTGTTAGCCTGTACTCTACGTGCTGTAATAATGTTCTTATACAACACTGTTTAGGGTATATAAGTACAGCAAAAAGTGTTTAAAATTTGTGTTATATAAACTAATATGTTGCGAAAATTTACGAACTTTAACTATAATCTATATCCTTGCTTTCTAGTTGTGTTATACAACACCATTCAATGAACTAGTTACTTAATAATAGTATTATACAACACTAACCATGTACACCCACTTAGAGTGACGTTTATTCCATGGGATATACATTGCATAAGAGCATTCAGCGTAGATTATTATATAATGTATTTGAGCTCACAGCTCCCTGCAGGCCTATTCATGACAAGCTCTTCTTGAAGCTACTAGAATTATGCAACACTGAATAATGTAAGATATCTTATGCAATACATTTACGAATAGCTGAAGAGTGAAGCAGGGTGAAAAAGAAGCTGAGAAGTTGCTTGCGTAGATTGCTTAAGAGTAAGATATTTAGATATATGAAGGTATTTACATCAAGTAAATTTAGGAGTGCTACGATAATGGAATTTATGTATAGTAAATTTATCCTTTCAAAATCCCAATCCAAAATTATATTTCACAATCTATGCAGTTAGCTATATCAAGTTAAGATAAATATTATACTAGCAATAATACATAGTAGATTCTCTTCAACTACAATTGCTACTGATGCATTTCTATGTTAGCCATAATTCAGAGACACTAATCTATATTTGGCTAATTGCAGCAGCGCCAGAGCCACACGTCACTGAATACGCCGGTAGTGACGTTGCAGACACCGATGCCGCCGCTGGCGAGCTATACGTTTGGGGCGCAGGACTTTTCGCAATCGGGTGCGATGAGCGCGGACATAATGAGCCTGCCGCAGTGGCATCAGGGTCTCGTGCAGCACACTAGGTGGGTAGTCCAGGCCCCGAGCCCGGCGAATAGCAGCAGCAGCAGCCCCAGCAGGCAAACACTTAACGGCGACCAACATCATAATCTGCCTTGCAGTCTATCGCATCTGGCTGTCTCGAATAGCACACCGCCGCCCGCCAGTTCGCCCGTCTCCATCAAGGTCAAAGCGGAACCGCAATCGCCGCCACGTGATCTCTCTGCCAGCGGCGGTGGTGGCGGTGGCGGCGGTGCCAGTGGCGGTGGTGGCCATCAGCACAACAGCAACGGCTCCACGGGCAGTGGCTCGAGCAGCAGCAGCACCAGCAGCAATGTCTCAACAGCGGGCGTCCTAACAGCCATCAATGCCATCACACAGTTGGGCGGTGCCGGGGTCTTAACGTCCGGCGGAGGCGGCGGTGGTGGTGGCGGCGGCACGAATGGCAGTGCGGAACAGGCCACCAATCTGAGCGTCCTAAGTCATTCGCAACAGCATCTGGTCATGCCCAATTCGCGGCCCTCCTCAACAGGTCACATAACACCGACACCAGGTATGTCCAGCGAAATTCTTTATTTCAAATTTTCCTATCAGCTTTTATCCGCAAGAAAATTGCATTAAAAAAAAAAAAAGACCTTGTTTTTCTACTAATTTAGAAAGTTTTCGTGTTTTTTGCGGCATGTACTCTAATGCTATCTAAAATGCAAAAAGAAAAAAGAAAGAAAATGAAAATGAAATGAAACTAAATTTAATCTGTGGCTCACGCGGCGTATTCGTAATAATATTACGCATACGCCGCTGATGCCGCTCTCTAGTGTGTGCAGCCGCATTTATTTATCGTTTCTTCTTCTTCTACTTCTCTATTGCTGCTGGCGCACAAAACAATATTTTTGTTCGTTTTGATTAACCAACAACAACAATTAACAACAACAACTATATGACAATTTTTAGGGCATGATAAGTATGAAGGATATCCGTACCGCGCGCTTATGGGACATAATCCTAGATGGAATTTTGCCGGTAAATTGGCCAAAACACACACACTCACACAAACAAACATAAGCACATACATACATACATACATACATACATACAAATATGCGAATTGCATACAGAGAACATACACGAACACACACACATATACAAACATATATTCTTCATACATTACTCTCACACACCTGGAACAACTTTTTGAATAGTTCTCATCAATACACACATAATAGAGCTGATGGGCATATTGATAATAATATTGATAGCAGAAATATCATTGTTGATTTGCTCTTGTCGATAATTGTTAAGGATTTGATAAATGAAGTAGAAATTGTCGATTGGCATTTCTGTGGCAGATTATAAGCTAAAAATGAGAATGTCATAGGATAAATAGATTAAGTATCTTCAAAAATCGATTCATTTTCGATTATATATCTTATCGGTCTTTAATCCATAATCTCAACAATTACAATATTAAAATTCTAAACTCGTTTGATTTATGACTCAATCAATTTCGGATTGAAAGCCGTTCAATTCACTTATCGATACGTCACTTATCGGTGGTAATCGATTGTTTATCAGCTCTAAGCCAAAATTTTCTATATCACTTTATGATTTTCCCCATACTTTTCAACAGACCAAATTGTCAAAATCAAGCAACTTTTGTATCTTTTACAACACTGAAGAAATGTTTTAAAAAAATGAAAAAATATAACAATATTTGCCTGCCTTGTTGTTTTGATTACTTTCACTAACCATTAGTTAACTTATGCTAGTTGACTACCCAAGCTGAGTTTAACATATGCGCTCATTTAACCCACACACACACAAAAAACATACATATAGACATCACACACATACACACACTCACACATGAGTTGCCAGGCGTTGAATGCCATTGCGTCTGGCTTTAAACAAATGAAAGCCCCCGCCTGCCGCCCGCCCGTGCCACACACATTTGCAATCAGTGCAGCTCAACTAATAAGTTAACAGATTTTATTATCTTAAACGCAGGTGCGCCCAATGGCGAGCAGGATGTGCGCCTACAAGCGGTTGCCGTGCAGCAGCAGCAGCAGCAGCAGCAACAACAGCAGCAACAGCAGCAGCAACAACAACAACAGCAACATCAACAACAGCAACAGTTGAGCGACTACGATGCGCCCAATCACAAAAGGCCAAGAATATCTGGCGGCTGGGGTACATAGCCGGCACGTGGCGCCAGCTACAAGCTACACCCACAACAACAACAACAACAACAACACCAGCAACAGCAACATCACAGTAGCAACAGAAAGCCCGTCAGCAGTGACAATGATCTGGTCATGATGCCGCCGCCTCCACGTAAAGAAAGTGCTGCACAACGCGTGTTCCACACGGCTGTCAGCTATGGGCGTGGCAGCGGCTATGACTGCTATAGCCAACATCTGGCCGTGGGCTATGGTCCACAGCAACAACAACAACAACAATAAATAAAAATAATAAATAAAAACAACAAGAACAGAGCACAGTAAAGTTTCCAGGCCAGTGCAATAGTTTTGATGAATTTTAGTCAGCTGGAAGCGAAAAGTTTTGTTATTGGTTTTCTTTTAAATATTAAGCGAAAAACAAGTGACAGTGTCATATCTACAATTATTGTCTAATGTGTAACTTATAATAATAATAATAATAAACATATACATATATATATATGTATATGTATATATGTATTGCTAATAGCTATAATTTAAAGTTATCTAAATAAACACACACAAAACAAACCCATAAAAAAACATTATTCATAAGCCATGTTTGAAAGCGCCCCCTAGTTAGTTAATTAATAATTTTAAAAAGTAAAAAAAAAATTAATAATAATTATTAAAAGTATATATATAAACAAATAATTATAAAACTGTTGCTAGTAAAGTTTTCAAACTCGTTTAGTTTTTAGTGTGTTGAGCTGATTTAGTTTAAATCAATTTAAAGAAAACTTAAACTTAAGTCAACTGCAAGCGATTATGATTGTATATATAAAATATATATACATGTTTTGTTTCGAGTAAGTTTTAAAAATTACACTTAAAATATACGTAATACATGCAAGTCATATATAATATACTACATATACATATATATATATATATATATAACTATACATAAGAGATGAACAAGTTTTACAAAATTGTAAAATCTCGCTTACACACATACACACCGACACACACACACACACATGAAAATGTACTCAAAATATGTTTTTTCTTTATAATTTTGTAAAACTATTATTGCAATAATTTTCTGGATTCAAGTGCAATTTATGAATTTTCGGTTGATTATAGTTTGCAATATTAATAGATAAAATTTATAATAAAGAAATTATACATAAACATATATATATTATTTTAAAACAACGACTCAGTTTAATTTAAAAATATAATTTATGATTTGAATTTAAGCTTACACTTTTTAGTCTTTTTTGCGTGGGCGTTAAGAACTTTTACTTTAAACTTAAATTACAAAATAAAAAACTTTATTTTAAGTATAAAAAAAAATAAAGTAAAATCCTTATTTTGATAGACTTTAATTCTCTTTGATTTGTAAGCAAAACGAAGTCATAATTTGTAATTAACTTAAATAAAAAAAACACACACGTGAATTTCTGTTTCGATTTGATGAAGCCTTAAGTTCTTTTTTGTATTTTTTACAATATATATATATACAGTTTAAATGCAGTTTGTAAAACAACAACTCAAAACACAAAATATAATTTAAATAAAAATGATTATAAACAATTTCTTTTTATTTTTAGTACTTAAACGGCTAGCTACATGTCGGTGGGTGTGGCTGTGTACATGTCAATTGCACATTTTTAAATTTTGTTTTTGTATATGTATATATAAATAAACACACACACACAGTCATATATAGATATATACGCACACGTTAACGCGCTCTGTAAATATTTGCTCTGATACTACATGACCTGTTGCACTTTATACAGCCCCAATGTAAAATGAAAAAACAAAAAAAGAAAAGAGAAGAATAAGACAACAAAAACAACAACATATGTATGCAAATAATTTAATAGTACTTCTATTTGTATGCTACGGACTGTAGCAGCAGCTGTGCATACTTGATATAGCGCGAAATTTAACGATCCGAATGCACAACAAATGAACACAAAAACAATAAACATTTACACTTTACAGGTTTCCCAAAGATGAACAACAACAAGCTTTACATACATACATATATATATAAAACTAAACTGAGCTATATAAATATATACATACATATTTATATATATAATACAAAGTAGCAAAAGCTACATATTTTCTAGCAATATACTGAGATGTTAATTAGCAAAATTCATTGAAAACAAACAGTTTGTACGAGTTCCTTTTTTTTAAAGAAATATTTTGAAATATATATTGATAGAAATATATACATAGAGAAAATTTTGAAAATTTAAAACAGATTTGTGCATAAAAAAGGAGCTCGCTACAAATTGATAATATATATTAAAAAAAAAAACTTGAATGAATATTAATTGTCCATATATGGTCAAGCATACTTAAAAGGTACTCAAAAATTACTTACAAGTACTTGAAAGTACTTGCAATTAATCTAACTTAGTACAGTGAGTGTTAAATGTAGTGTACCCCCATCCCCATTGATATCTTCTGTTCTTAGGTTGAACCCGGTTCCAAAAAAAAAAAAAAATAATAATAATAATAATTTTGATATAGTTTGCAAAAGAACAAAAACTTTTCCAACAAACAAAATTTTCTCCTCATTTCGGTTTTTCATATTTTCAGTTGAGTGTAAATAAAATATATTGTTTTTGGTATACTAAAACTTCACTCTCTAGTGTGTTGCCTTAAGAACAGTGCCTCTTAAATGAACAAAAGAAAAAAACATAAGTGTTAAAAAATATATGAAAAAAAAAGTAATGAAACTGTAAACTTGATGGTGAAAATATTTCAATACAGGTGTTAATTGTGCTATTTAAAGAAAACAAGTAGTTAATGCAAACCTAAACAAATTGAAACAAAAATTAAAAAATTAAACTAAGCTTTAAAAAAATACAAACACACACACACACAAAAGAAGAACTATAAAAAATTTATGTAGCGAGGAAAAAGCAGCACAAAATGTACAAAAAAGTATGGAAAAACTATGATTGGAATGTAAAAATTTGGCAATTTGGCATATGAAAATTTGGAATACTTTAAGAGATCATACACACATCTAGATTTACATATACAGTTATATATACATGATATATGCGATGATAGTGCACTGTATAGCTGGACGTCTGCAAGGCGATGCATAGGTCACAGGGACCACAACATTTAAATAAATATAGAAATAAATTAACGTGGAAGGTATTGTCATCTGAAACAATTCAATTGAGATCAAATAAACTAGTTAAATATGTTAAAGAATAAATGGAAATTGCACTGTTGTACGACGATTTTGAATGGGGCACCTGATTAAGATTCTGAAACTCTATTAGAAACATAAGCAAAGCGTGTTAAAAGGCAAACAAGACTTTATGCATTAACCATATATATAAATGTATACATATATATACAAGCAGACACTATGGATCAACCATATATATAGCCTAATATAGTATAATTTCAATTTCTAGTTTTGTTTTCCACTCATCTTCAATGTTGTTAATGTTTGATGTGCATTAGGTATTTGTGTTAAAGCTAATTGTATGTGGTTCCATTTGCAATTTGTTGTCCAGAAGATAATCAATCATTAATGAGCACAAACTAAGACATAAATACGTACAGATTCAATTATAAAAATAATGTTTTAAAAAATGACAAACATAAGCTATGATTGGGTACCAGAAAAAGGCGTTTAAAAGTTTATAAAACCTTCAAAACGCTGTCTTAAAAACAATGCAAAATAAATAAATAAATAAATAGATAAATAAAAAAGAAAAAAACAAAAATTATGAGAAATGAATATTTTACAAATTAAGTGATATGCAAGTAGTTAAGTTATATATATATGTACAAGGCGCTCCAGATCGATATTATATAAATATATATACATATAGTTATCATCAATGTATTTATGTTAAAAAAAAAAAAATACTAGTAACAATGTTGATGAAACATAAAAAAATAACAAAAGAGAGCAGCTAATAATAAAAGGAAAATAAAACAAAAAAAAAAGTATTTATAATATATTGTATACATACTATATAAACAAGTTTTATCCGTGCACTGAATATGAAAGGTTTTGACAAATTGATTGTGGCATAAACATTTACCTACAAATTAAGTTGATGTTTTAAACAAAATGAAAAGTAGCGATCTTTTAAATAAAACAAACAAAAAACCTTTTTGGCAACTGAACATTTACAAAGTTTTCATAATTCTCATTATTTGTTTTATTGCAACCTTTTTGTTTATAGAGTAATTTAGAATTTAGAATTTCGTATTTCTCTTTCTTTCCATCTTGCTTTCTTTACAATTTACAAACTAATCAAATGCATTTATGGTACAACATCTACAAATCTCTTTGCAGCATTGGCATTTAGTTTACATGCCATTGTAGGCGGGGCCGCCGCCACCTTCGGGCACTACCCAATTGATATTCTGTTTGGGATCCTTGATATCACAGGTTTTGCAGTGAATGCAATTTTGTGCATTGATTTGTAACTTCATATTGCCGCCCTCCTCGTTGGGCACATATTCGTATACGCCGGCGGGGCAGAAACGTTGCTCGGGTCCCTCGTAAATGGCCAAATTGTGATCGACGGGTATGCGATCGTCCTTCAATGTTAAATGGGGTGGCTGATCGCCCTCGTGATTGGTGCCTGTGAGCGCCACCGATGAGAGCAAATCAAACGAGATTTTGCCATCTGGCTTGGGATATACAATGCGTGGACTAACATTTGCCGGCTGCAGTGATTCGTGATCCTGAGGGCCATGCTTTAGCGTCCAGGGCTCGCGACCGCCCATGAATATGGAGAAACCACTGAGCACAAGGCCGCCATAAAGACCCAGAGGATTGTGGAAGGACGGATGCACATTGCGCACCTTGTACAAATCTTTCCAGACAAACGATTCCTTGATCCTACAAAAGGTAAATGCATATTAGATTTTCGATTAGCTATAAGTTTAAGGTCCTCCTAGCTTACTTGTCTGCATAAGTTACGGGCTCCACACCAGCTGTGGTCTGTGTGCCCTCATTGATAGCCTCTAATGCGCTTTCAGCGGCCAGCATGCCGCTCTTCATGGCGTAGTGCGAGCCCTTGATACGTGGCACATTCAGGAAGCCCGCGCTGCAGCCGACCAAGCAGCCACCGGGGAAGGACAGCTTCTTGGGTAAACTTTGAAAACCACCCTCGTTGATGGCACGTGCGCCATAGCCAATGCGTGTGGCATTCTCAAACACATGGCGCACCTTTGGATGCGTCTTAAAGCGCTGGAACTCCTGGAACGGACTAATCCAAGGATTCCTATAGTTTAGGCCAACCACAAAGCCAACGGCAATAGTGGGCGTGGGCTCATTTAGATGGTACAGAAATGAGCCACCATATGTAAACCGATCCAAAGGCCAGCCAATTGAGTGCTCCACTAAGCCCGGTCTATAAATAAAATAAGTTCCAATTGTGCTCTAGCATATCCTTGCTTGATAACTCACTGATGGCGCTCGGGCGAAATTTCCCACACTTCTTTGAGTCCAATGCCGTAGGTTTGTGGCTCGCTGCCTGCGTTGAGGCCGAACTTTTGCATAATCTGCTTGGAAAGATGGCCGCGACAGCCCTCGGCGAAGATTGTGGTCTTCGCATGTAGCTCCATGCCACGCGCAAAGGTTTCTTTGGGTGCGCCATTCTTGGCAATGCCCACATCATTCGTGGCAATGCCTTTGACGCTGCCGTCCTCATGGAAGAGCACCTCAGAAGCTGCACAGCCTGGATATATCTCAACGCCTAGTGCCTCCGCCTGATCCGCGAGCCATTTGACCAAGTGTCCTAAACGTACAACATAATTGCCATGATTGTCCATGGGCCAGCCCTTGAAGATGGGTATGGGTATGCGGCCCGTTTCCGTAAGGAACGAGAACGTATCCTTTGAAACGGGTGTGTTCAGTGGTGCACCCTGCTCCTTCCAGTCGGGGATGAGCTCGTTCAAAGAGATTGGATCGATGACAGCGCCGGAAAGTATATGACCACCGGCCTCAGCGGCTTTTTCCACTACGCAAACGCGGATTTCCTGTCCAGCAAGAATAAAATTTTTATTATCGTTCGATCTGGACGGCTATGACATAAGCAGCTCACCTGATCTTTTTCAGCAGCCAGCTGCTTGGCTCTTATGGCTGCCGACATGCCGGCTGGTCCGCCACCCACGATGACAATATCCACCTCTTCGACACAACGCTCCATGTCCACGTCCTTCCATCTCTCGTCCTTCTCCCGCGGATTCAAAGTGTAGTGCGTGGTGATCTTCGGATATTTCGCTGCCTCTGAAACGCTGCGCGCAAAGGCGGGCGTAAAGAGCTTGTGAACTGGGCGTGGTTATAGAGAAAAATGCATTTATAACTAGTGAAGCGCATAAGCTGATAAGAAATCAATGAGATTTCCAATACGAACTCCAATCAGAAGAGAGTCTGAACATTTAACAGAGTTGGCAAATGCTCATATTATATAAACTGCTTACGTTTTTATGATTATTTGATGAATTTCATATTCTAAAATCTCATCAGCATTAATTATGTAATCGCCAAATTGTATGGTCTTGTTGTTGCCTTTATAAACAGTTTTTTCTTAAACTCACCTCGATGCATTTTCAACAGAGCCGACATTATCGCCTTTATAGCCTGCAGCGTATTAATCTAATTGCAATATCTACAATATACATATAGAGAGAATATTATTTATTTATATATTTCAGTATAGATAGCAAACAAAAACAAATACAAGCGCCGCGTCCACCGCCTCCGCCAACAAAGCAACAAGTTGGACTTTAGACTTGCCTGCCAATTGCTGTGGCTGTTACAAATTCAATCATTTAATTGAATATTTTATTTTGCTTGCAACTTACTTGAATTGTTCCTCACCGTTGAGATTTCGTTGTGTTAATAAATGGTCTATGCAGATTGAATAGGTAAATCAAACAAACGCGAGACTTGGGTCGGTGCCGACAGAAGCCAACCGCAACATTCAGCTGTTCAAACTAGAGCTGAGTGCGTGTTGCGATTGTGCACGATATCGCAACTGCTATAGTTAATCACTGCAGAAACAAAAATCATATGCACTAAATTATAATTTACCTTATATATATAACTTAAAATTATTTTTAACTGGTCATAATTATTATATTTACTTTTTCAATATATATAATTTTGAATTCCTTTTATAAATATGCATTCCTGTACACATTCATCTGGTTGCAGACAGCTGGCACGCGTTCACCTCTAGCTAACAACTTGTTGCTTCGGCGTTGCCACATCGCGCACAGCTGAAACAATTGTAGCGCGCAACTGAGTTTACATGGTTGATGCCACCGCACAACAGATGGCGCCAGCAGCAAAGCTATTAATTTAAATTACATTTTCGTTAAGGTCAATGCCTAATTTATGGCTTTTAAGATATAAAAAAAAAAGATAATCGACTATTAGTTAGCGAGTGGTCTTTATTTAAAAGATTGTTCACAACATTTGCATGCATTTTAGGGAATTACATTTAACACTTTAAATTTTCGATATTAGATTTAATTTTATGCCATTGTAGTGTCTCTGTGTATTCAAATGTGACCTTTGACCTTTGATTTGAATATCTATAATTTATGTATGGTTTATCGCTTGACAAAATTTATTGAGCAGAGCAAAGATTTAATGAATTTTTAATCCAGCCCTATTAAAAATTCAAAGTACAGTTTTGTTGTATTTTTATAGTTTTTTTTACTATTGCAACATTTATAGGGTGTATTTATATATTTGTATCATCATTTTCAGTTGTGTTTGGCCAATTTTAAATATTTACAGCTTTGAGTGTGTGAGAATTTATGGTTCATAAAATTGCTCCTCCGATTCGGTTTGCTCGCCGCTTTTCAATTGCTGCTGATCATGAGTTGATCTCTGAGCCTGACCCTGACCCTGTTGACCTTGCTGCTGCTGCTTATTGAACAGCATCGACATGGCCTTATCCACGGGATTAGTCTCCTCAGTGCCCTGCTGCTTGCCATCCAATTTATTTAGCTGCTTGGACTCCGAAGAACTAGCTAATCCACCTTCCGTTCCAGTTCCGGCTCCAGTTCCTGCTCCCGATCTATTTACGCTCTTGCCGAAGCGCATGAAGTTCGAATCCATTTTGCCGAAACGCTCGAAATCACTGGGCGCCGCACGTCCGAAGCGCATGAAATTATCCGGACGACCGAAACGCATGAAATCCTGTTTGGGACTGCGCAGCTCCTCGTGAAAATTCATATTTCTGCCGAAGCGCATGAAGTTATCGGAGCGTCCGAATCTCATGAAATCCTGACTGGGATCACGTCCGAAGCGCATGAAATCGGAAGGAGAGCGACCAAAGCGCATAAAATCGGAAGGAGAGCGACCAAAGCGCATGAAATCCTGCTTCGGATCACGGCCATAACGATCCATGCCCGAACGCTTGGCAGCCTCGTAGTAGCCCGGTCCCGTCGCCTGAGGCATTTGCTCCGCCTGCCGCTTGCCGAAACGCATAAAATTATCCTGCATAGACTTGCGCTTGATATCGTAGTCCGGATCGTACTTGAAGTTGGGTTTGTGGGCGTGTTTCTGAAAGCGTAATACTACGGAATTTTTATTATAATCAATGCCAATGGCCGAGATGGGATAGCGAAACTCCAGCTCAGTTTGGTCCAGTTTATCGCTGGCTAAGCCATCCAAAATATCAGATTCCACTGCCTTGGGATTAACTTCCTCCGATTCCAACAGCGAGTTCTCTATATAGCTGGGCGTTTCGATGATCTCGCTGTGTATGGCCGATTGCATCTGGTAGAGGGCCAGCAGAAACATCAAGGCAATGCCCATGGCTAAGAGGAGCTGCAGAGAGAGAGAGAGAGAGAGTGGTAGAGAGTGGAGGTGAGTGGGAGGTAAAGGTAGCATATAACATAATTATAAGATGTTGACTTAAATCACTTGCTACATTATCTATTACAAGTTTTAATCACATTAACGCCCTCGCGTAGGTCACATTCATTTTACTTAACAAGTACAACAACAACAACAACTCGGACATCTTGTTGCTGTTGTTGTTGTACAACAAGTTGATTTAGCTACTCCGGTAGCCGGGCAGCTGCTTAACGCCTTTTGTTTGCCTTGGCCATGGGCCGGACGAAAGTGTCCCGCTAATTAACCATAACAATATTTATGCGATAATCCATCCGCCATGCCAAGAGCGAAATATGAATGTGCGCGTAAAAAGTTAACCAAGCGCATTAAAAGGCAACAACAGCAACAATAGCAGCAACAATACCTGCAACAGCTACAATAGCAACATGAGTCTATACACACTCCCACACACACACGTAGTTACATAGACACATAGACACACATTAAGAGCCATAATCCAACTTGTTAAAGGCGCTAAGCAGGCGCAGCGTGCAGAAGGAGCAGGAAGTGGCGGACGAGCAGGAGGAAGACCAGCAGCAGCACCAGCAGCGGAGAGAGGAGCAGAGCTAAGGGAGTAACAGCAGATAAAGGCAGCAGAAACAAAGCAGAAAGAGGAGTAGGAGCAGGAGTAGGAATGGGAGTAGAAGGGGCATTCACAGCTTCGGCAGCATCATCAGCAACTGGAGAGAGTTGATGTATGAACATTTCGCTCTTCGTCAGCAGCGAAATAGCCTATTAGTGATGCAAATGATTATGGGTTTTGGATGCGGCCACAGATGAAGGCGTCAAATGGCCAAAGTGAAGCGCGCTGTCCACGCGCTGCAGCTGCAGGAACTGCTGAGTCAGTAAATTAGCGTACTGCTGAGAATTATGAAAAACTTGGCCGAGTACAAAGGCCAGACACAACTGAGAACTTTGTAGAGCCACGAGTTCCGCGAAGTCTCTAATGTACATTCTATATATAGGTTGAGCAAGAATTGATAATGCAGCACGGAAATATAGGAAACTTTTAATCCAGAGTAAAGATTTTACAGACTTTTGAGCTTAGAGGCAGAATTTGCTACAACAGCAACAACAAATTAATTAATGATTTGGTCTTTATTTAGAGGCATATGGGTTTTTAGTTAAAAGACATGGGCATCGTTTGGGAATAAAATACGTTTAGTACTTTAACAGAAGCCAAGAGAAAAAAAACTTATAGCTGCATTTTAAGCTTGATTTTTACAATTTTTACATTGTCTTTCTGTTTTTATTTCCTTATATGAATCAATAAAGCATTTACAAGAAATAATCCTAGCGAACTCAGCAATGAGATATCGTTAGGTATAAATATAAATATATTTCGTATAAATACTCCTCTCCAAAGGTCACTGAGAAGTAATGCTCGTAATAACCTCTAGTCTAGCTGATGAAAACTTGATTCACTCTATAAGCCTCACACTCTTTTGCGCAGATCGGAGATAAATCTATTCTCGGCAAACGCATATTTATTTAAATATATATTTTTAATCAGATAAAAAACCCTGAAAATGTTGTTGCTACATATAAGAGTTCGGAAATCGTATAGACACTCGGACAGACAGTTTATAACTGAGTTAAAAGTTTGCTTCGTGTTTCACTTGACATTAATATGCGCGATGTTGGTCAACTTATCGCTCAATTTAAAAATTGACTAGGCCATCTGAAAAGAAACCGTTAAAAAACTTGTTCAGACTACGCCGTAGACACCAGCAGCAACGGCAGCAACAGCAGCGACAACAGCAACAACAACAAGTTGACCCTAAGCTGCGCTGAGCTGGCAAATGCTGCACATTAACATACATTTTACGTACTCCACATTAATGTTACATTTCACAAAAGTTTTGTGCAAAAGGAAAAATTACGACTAAATCATGTTAAGATGAAGATTAAATACCCTAACTGACAAATTGTTGCTAGGCAACTACATTTTACTGGGTAAATTAAGTTTTGATTGAAGTTTATAATTGTTGCAGCGAGTTTAGACAGACTTGGAATAGGCTTCGATATCATTTTGTATTTTCTAAAAGAAAGGCTGCAAGAAGCCCTTGTCCGTGAGTGAAACGAAATAGTATCAAGTCATCTGGCAGTCACCTTCTAGGCTATAGTCAAGGCATAGGTTGTAAATTTCACAGATTTCTATAGTTTTTACATAATTAAAATGATTTTCCGAATCGATTTTATGGTTTTTTTTAACAGGTTATAGTTCGAGTGGCCTATGTTGTGGTAATCTGATATTGTTTAGATTTATAGCCACAAACACTTTTTTGTTAAGGGTTGTGTTGCTATGACAGCTTCATGATATAGTAGTCAAAGTTGTAAGAGAAAATATGCTAGAGGGAAGCTGGGAAACACTTTCTAATTAGAAACTTAACGTGCTATGCCTGGTTTGAATGACAAATATATGATATAGTAATCTTATATAGCTCAAAAGTTGCTTTCGTTTAATATAGATTAGGGCTTTGATGCTTAATAGAGCAGAAATAAAAGTTCAAATTGCCAAAATGAATTGCAAGTGGATGATTTCAATAATACAGTGGACAATATATTGAATCGTTTAATTATTATTATTTTATATTTATTTTTACTTTTCTATTCATATATTATTCAAATATAATCCTTATCTCTTTATAAAGCATATATTTTATGCCAAATTGCAAATAGCCTGAACAAGTGTATAAAAGTACGAAAATTTAATGCTTTATTGCTGTTGTTGCTGCTGTTGTTGTTGTTGTTGTGTCTGCTGTTGCTGCTGTTGTTTGTATTGCAAGCGCAATCAGACGCAATTCATTTGGGGCAATAAGTGACAAATGGCAAGCGTTGCTTAGGCCCCGTCAGCAGCCCCACTGCGCTCGGCCTGCGCTCTTCCTATGTGGCCCTAACGCATTCGCGGTTATTTGTATTCGAATGCCGCAAAGTGTTGCTTGCAACATGCGTCCGCTGTCGAATCGAGGTACTCGAAGCGAAGCGCAGACAAACTGTCATCGGATTTATGACGAATGATGCACTCGACATGCATGTTGCAACAGCATTTAGCAGCACCAACAGTGGCAGCAACAACAGCAGCAGTGGCAGCTGCAACTGAATTGATACGATGAAGAAGAAGATGCATCATAAATTTTCGCAACTTTTCGGCACCTTTATTATTTCACACCCATCCCGCATCACACATACGTCGCGTGGCTCAACACATGTATCAAATATCAATACACACACACACACACACACTCGTTAATTCGTTTAGCTGTCATATGAAAGTTGAAACTTTGCATGTTTCGCTTTCATTTTCTTTTCTTATCTCTTTGTCTGATTTTGATTTCTAATCAGATTTTCATAACTGAGCAATGCGATACATTTGAAGTGTCTTCGGCTTGTAGCTAAATTTAAATACGTAATTTATCAGGCATGTAGGCAGCCAGCTCAGCGTTGACACGTAAAAAGACAAATGATTGCCCCGTGTGGCACTCAGATATTTGCAACATTTTTAGCTCCCAGCTGTAGCTCCTGTGAACTGCTCCCATTGTCAACGATAAATCAAAAATGTTTGCACGCATCGCAGCTAGTTCTTGAGCTGCACATATCATAAACCCGGTAAAAGGCTAAGCATTTCCCTCCTCTGCTTGATAGTGTGAGGAAAAGCGGGTAAAAAAAAAACCACAGAGCTGCGCTGCGCTGGCAAATGGAAATGAAAATCTAGCGACGCTCTGCTGCGGCTGCTGCTCTCCGAAGTGCAGCCGTAAACATTTCAATTTGCTTTCATTAAGTCCAACTGTATGTGTGTGTGTTTGTGTGTGGCAACTACTACTATGTACCGCCTGTCATTTACCACCTGGATGCTAACTCTAACTGTATTTATGTAGTGTAGCACGTGCTTTGGGCTCACTTGCCTTTTGGCGTGCAGCCTAACAAAACTGAAATTTGATATTTTCGTAAACCCTTTTCAATATATTTGCCAGAAATATCATTCCAAAAGACTTTAACTCTTAGTGTTATTAAAATAATAATAAAACCAACTTTAAGTCTTTTTTGGCTAAACTTTAGTTTTCTTTCCACGTTTTTCTCTAATTTTTTAATTGAGTAAAATCAAAATGAAATAAGTGTTGTCAAATATATTGTTAATTACTTCTTTATTTAAATAAATAAATAAAAACAAAGCATAAAGCATTAAAAAATTGTACAAAATTAATATAACAGTTAATATATATATATATATTTATATAGTATTCAAAATCATCAGCTACAGAATAAAATCTTCATACATTTTTCAAAACAGCACACAAAACTAACTTCTCTCCAGTTTCTACGCTTTCTGCTTTGCAGGCGAATTCGCAGCGAAACTGTTTTTGAGAATTTCAATTAACAAAGCTTAATTTAAAATAAAATCAAAAGACTTGAACATTAATGCTTAAAACTTTTGTTTATCTTAGTTAAGATTTAATGTTATATAAGAATTTTATAACAAGAAACAACAAAACATCAAACATGCTGTGCGTCATCTCTAGCTCGTAAGCCTCATCTGGCTATTAAACTAGGTGCTCTGAAGCAACTTATACAGACTACATTTAATGTATACAACTTTTATGATTAGATATTGTATAATATTAGAGAAAGTTTATGGATTTCTTTATTTAAAAGCTGATTGTCTTCATGGAATTTATCTATGGGTAGATACTCTAAGTTTTATAACATGATTTTTTTTTTAGGTTTCTAAATTAATTTGAAGCATCAGAAACTATTGTAGAGAATTTTTAATATTTATCAACTATTTTTGCTATATATTTAAAATATTTAAAAATGATTTAGCATGATATTCCTATTCTATATAAAATATATAGCAAAATCAAGCAAAGCTGTTAACTAAAAAATCACTTTTCTCAAGAAACTATAGAGCAAAGAAACATAGCTAATGTTTGTTATAATAATATAATTTGTTGTATAATTATTTTGTATAATTCCCTAAAACTCTCAATCACTTCTAGCTCTGTTGTTAGATTATGAATAACCAAAATTATTTACTTTTTATTTTCACAATAAAATCGTATATAGTACGATTGCTCTGCATAGATTTTGAGACAAATTCATGTTAGACTTTCTTAACGGTAACAATCAATGTCCTTTCACTGCCACACTCAGCATACACTATATTTAGAGGTCAAGAACTCACCTTTCTTTCCGAATAGGGGATATCAAGTTAAGCGATAATTGCTGGGCAATTAAATGGACATTCCTTTTGAAGAAATACCAATTCGAAGCACTTTTTACACGGACCAATCGCAGCAACTGGCTCTTGTTCCACTGTGTGTGCGGCGCTTTCTTGGGGCAGGACACTTGTTGACCGTGACAAAGTGAAACAGTTCTGTGCAGATGTTTGGCGAAACATCCGGTTTTATATAGAACCTGTCCACGAACGGCCGACAACAAACAAACGACAGACGACAGACGACAAACGACAGCCGACAGCCGATGTTGAGGATAATGTGCGGGCGGCCTGGCCACCCAAAGCCTCTGAGTGCTGCTGCGAGTGCCTGCTGAAGCAACAAGTGTTGCCAGCAACATGTTGAGTGAAGCAAGAGTTGCTAAGCGTATTCCTGTCTCCCTCTCCCACTTCACACTTTATTCAATTACAGTTAAAGAGCAAGCTATGAGCACACGTCAGCCTTGCGCTTGCCTTTTTCTTTATTTATTTATTTTTTTTTTTCGCACCTCTTTTAATTAGCTGCCCTAGGCAGTCAGAAATGTTGCTATGGACATGTGTTGCTGGCAGCAAATCTATGTGTCTGCGTGTACATCCATCTCTCTGCCTTTCTCACTCTCTCTCTCTCTTATTCTTTATTTATTTACAGTTAAACTGCAAGCTTCAGATAGAGGCCAGCCTTGACAATGTCCGACTGCCTGCCTGTTTTTTTCTTCTTCGTTCATTTTTGGCTCTGATATATTTGTTTGTTTGTGTTGACAGACAGACTGAATGGCTGACAGACGACAGACGACAGCACAATGGCCAACAATGCGGCTTATTGTTTGAGCCAGTTTTCAGCTTTATTAACTGTATGCAGGCAGACATGCATGCAGTATAATATGTACATATCTCTCTCTCTCTCTCTCTCTCTCTCACACACTTTATGTTTGTATGTTTGGCAATGACGCAGCAACATTTTGTCGCCGCTTTGCTGGTAATTCTAGCGCCAAATTGTATGCAAATTGTTATGCGCCGCCCACTTTTAAGTTTTGTCAGCTGTGGCAGCAGCAATACCCCAACACCCTCAGCGTTATCAACTACCCCTGCCATACCCCTTTTGTCTTATCGCATCCAATTAGCTGGGTCTTCAGCTTCAGCTACTCTGGCTACGTGTGCGTATGCGTTATAATTTGGCCTTGTCGCCAGTTGCTCTTATTGAAGTTTTATGGCCCTGTAACGGGATACCTTGTGGCGCCTTTAGTTGTCCCATTCGTCTGCTATAACCCAATCCCCCCAATCTCCTCTCTCTCTCTCTCTGCCCCTTCTCTCTCAGCTACTCGCTTTGCCCTCCCCTCTCTCTTTTGGCTGGGCGGGCGTTTGCAGCTAGCGGAAGTCTGTAATTACGGCCACACTTTGAAAGGCCAAGTTTAGTCGCTTCTATTTGTTTTCGTCTTTCGATTTTTTGTTTCTTAGTTTCTGTTGCTGTTGTTGTTGTTGTTGGCATTTCGGAGCAACACTCCCAGTCGGTGAGGATGACTGGCAACAAATGTGTCAACCATTGTCTTCATTTGTTTTTCTTTTCTTTACAATTTTTATGATCGTTCAAAAATCAATAGCTAAACAGATATACATATACGTACACATATACATATACATATATGTATATTTGCATTGATAAATATGTATGCCTGTTGTTGAGGCTCATTTGCATCAATGCCCAAACGCTCAAGTTCAAAGCATTTGCTTGACCGAGACCGTGGACACCCATTTGGTGGTCCGTAAGCCTACAGTGAGTCGTCATTTTTTGAAGAAAAAAAGATCTACGAAGTAGAGGAAGTTAAGATTGTCAGTGTGCTGCAGATATCGAATCTCAAGTCTTTATGTTTTAGTTTTTTCCAGTTTCTTGCTATGCTATTGTTAAAGCTTTTGATTAGATAGTCAATCTAATCAAATTTAAGGTCAGCTTGGGCTGCATTCGAAAACAGGTTCAGTAGGTCTTTAAACGTTGTGTTTTACTGAATATTACTGAAGAAACTCTTTTTAGAATACTTAAAGAATATTTATTGAATTAAATATTAAAATAGCTTTTATGCTCCAGAATGCTCTTAGATGTTTTCAAATAATTGTCTATATTTATTTCTTATATAATTGAAATTATATCTTCAAGCAAAATTCATTTTTCTTTTCATAATTTTGTAGATTATTTTTAGGTCTTATATATGTTTGAACATTTTCTTAAAGAGTATTTAAAATGCAGCACAACTGATAATTGAAATATTCATACAATATAAATAGAGAAAAAATATATACACACATATATAATCGTATATATACATATATTTTATAATGATCATTGAAAAAAACTTGATTAGCAAATTGAAGCAGCGCTTGACAAAGGTTTGCTCCAAATGTCAGGAGTATATTTATAGCTAATATACCATATTAGTTGTTCAGCAGATGTGATTATAGCAACTCTTGTTTTCTGTATTTTTATAGGTTTCAGTTAGTTGAGTTGGGTTTGATGTCAATGCCATTGTTAAGATTTTGGTTTGGTTTGTTTTTAGTTATGTGTTGTGTGTGTGCAGAGTCAACGAGTGTAACTAACAAGTAACGGGGCGGGCAGGCTCGCTTTTGGCCATGGTCAATTCTATCTAATTAACGAGCACACACTTGAATTTTATGCATGCGTTATGTGCTATAAAGATGTATGCCATAAACCATTGCCAAACCAACAACAGCAACGCGTGAGTGTGCTATAAACATAAATTCAAAACGGACAAACGAATCCGACGGCGGCTGCCGCTTGCTGCCGCTTGCTGCTGCAGTTGCATCACGTTCTAGACTGCATGGGAAATCTGCAGGCAACAGCTAAAGCAGCAACAACAGCTGAGAGTAAACAGCAGAGGCGACAACAAATACAGTTATTGAGCAATGGCCAACGGTAGTTGTTGCTCTTTATTGAAAGAAGCTTTTGCCGAGCAGCAGCAGTAGCAGCAGTGGCAGCGGGCGCAGCAGCCGCACGACTGATCGTTTACTTTGAGCGGGCACAGCCAATTATCGAATGTAAACAAAAACAAAGCTGAGAAATCTGCTTGCATGAACCTCTGACCGGGAGAAGCCAAGCTTAGCCGCTAGGCAGCGACGCCAACGCCAACGGCGACCACGACGTCGACTGCAACGTCTTTTGCATACTCGTGAGCCTCTCTCTCTCTCTCTCTGTGTGGCGCTCAGTGAGTGTGTGTGTGATTGTGTGCGTGTGCACTCAGCTAGTTTTTGGGCGATTTCTGTGTCCGTGTGTGTTATAAACTAAGCAATACATGTACAAGGCGTTATATAGCTTAGTCTTTTTCTCATCGTATTCACTTAGTCGTTTTCTATTTGGCTGGTATTTTTTTTTTTGTCGTATATTTTTGAGTGCGAGGCTCTTTTCCTAATTGTCAAGCCGAGTTTGTTCAGTTGGTGTTTGGCATTCAGAGCGCGCGTACGACTATGCGAATGCAGATCGCTTGGACATTCTAAATATATCCTGATAAACAAAAAACTTAATACTTAGGAAGTGTTATAGTACATAACTGTCTTTTGAGTGAATTTTGGATTATTGAAAAAAGGTGTGCTTAATTTATGTGTAAAGCAGTTAGTTCTAAAAAAAATCTAAAATTATAAATTAACAGTTAACAATTCTTGTAATATTTTAAAGTGTTGTGCTTCATCCTCCTGTTCTCATTTAATATCAAGTGCTTATAAGATCTAAGTACATTCCCGGCATTTTTTATATTAATTGCTTTTCCATCTTGCATTGACATCTTTGGCTTGGCTCAAACTGGTTGCCCAACTCTTGGCTAAATAACCAAAAAATTGCAATTGAACAAGTTAGCAGCGTCGGCGTCTTATTTTATTTTTGGCAAAAACTATACTTAACCTGTCGCATTCCCATGTGCTCCATGACATCAGGTGGGGTTTTCTCACCAACTCCAGTTGCTAGCTTAGCCTTTTGTTATACTCTATAACAGAAGCTGTTTAGACAATAAAAATTTAAGCTATGTTTACTTATTACTTATTATATGTACTGTATAACTAAAACTGGAATTGCTTATAAAGTAGTAGCTTTTTTAATTATTAATTGAAGGCTAACAATTCTACTCCGTGACAAAAATGCTTTAAAAGTAAATAGACTCTATCCTAATACTGCAAGCCTTGCTCAATAGATTTCGATATCTTTCAGTCTCTTCCGAATCATATTAATATAACAATCAGTAACTCAACTTGGCCTTCGTTTCAGTTTTCTGAATCTATTCAATCAATTCGTAAACAATACCGCAAAGGCGGTTTTTCTTGTCAATAAAATTGATATAGATTTTGATAGATTTATAAATGAACAACATCTAAAACAGATCTTAAATAACAAATTTCAAAATAATATTTTATTAAAAACTTATAACTATAAACAAATAAAAAACTTATAATAAAAAAATGATCAAATCGATAAATATAAATAATATAAATATGTAAAAAATTAAAAAAAAAAAAGCTTAAAAAACTATATAATAATATTTAATAAATAATATATATATTTTTTTTAATATATACAATTTATTTATTTAATTTAAAAATTCACTGAAATTTTCATATAAATTTGATTAACTTCCTGCTTTGTTTATTAAAAGCATTCGCATAGAAATAATGTCTAGTCACATTTAATTTATATAGTAATCTCTTTAATCTCCTGCTAATAAACCGCTCATTTATTACGATTCGACAAGCTCAGCTCTTTGTTGTTATTGTTATTTCTCTTACTTTAAATCACGCCTAATTTAATTTATTGCATTACAATTCTCATCGAATCTCGATTTGAAGAGCATCAAGTGGCAGAGTCTGTAAACGATTCGCTGCAAGCACTTATATATTGTTTATTCGTGTTTTATCTGGGAAATCGTTGCATGCACATCTGACGTCGTCAACGACGACGACGACGCGCAGCCTCTCAACGGCAATCAAAGCAGCGGCAACAATGCCAAGAGAGCCCAGGCTGACAGCAACAATTGCAATGTAAATCGCTTCGGAATGTCAGTCGACACGTATAGAGATATATGTATATGCATTTATCTGTTTATAAGTCGCCAGAGATTTGGTTGCACGTCAACGAGGCGCTCTGAACCTCTTAGCTTTGACTGACCCGTCACGTTTGCATAAATGTGTTGTTGTTGTGATCGTTGGCGAAATGTAGTCTACCTATATATGTATATATATACATACATATATAATTTTCTATTTCATTTGCAGTATTTCCCCCTATTGCCTTTGAAAAGTAATTTCGATCGTGTTGGCTGTTGTTTATCGGCTTGGCATCAGAGACCCTACAGCTAAAAGTTTAACTGGGCTAAGCGAAAGCCTAGCCTGAGATGTGTAACAGTTGGCCAATAGCAGTGGCAGCAGCTGTTAATGCTCTAAGGGCCTATTAAATCACTTTCCAAAACACGTTCGTTGCCTAAGTCTTTTATTTTGTAGCTGCATTCTTCTCGCAGCGAACGGAGCCATAAAACGTAACATGTCTAATTGCTGTGATCTTGGCCCGACGTCTTAGCCATTCTTGTCGGCCAATGCTAAAGCTATTAACAGTCTTTCCATTTGAAATCTTTAAAATCAAGCGATCGTAAAACAACAGCTAAACGAATCTTTAATGTCAGCTCTTATAAATTATGTAAAAGCTCATTATATTTATGTTTGTTTTTTTTTTTTTTTTTTTTTTTTTTTTTTTTACAATTACCTTTTGGCATTATGAAGTTGAAGTTTCTTTACATAGCCCAACAGGTTTCGTTAGATTTTGAAGGACATGCGCACAGTCCAGTTAACAAGTCGACGCCCAGTTTGGCGTTAGCGGAATCGCTCGACTGACTTTACAAGCTCACTATCAATGGCAGCCAGGCTGAGCGCTTTGCGCCACAGCTGCCTCGGCTAATTGGCCCACATGTGCCGCATGGCGTATACGCAGCATGCGCGCCGAGTGTTAAATTTGTGGCCAGTTGGACTTGGTGGTTCGTTGAGTTGCTCATGAAGCATGTCGCCATGTTGACAATCGACGAATTGGTCGCCGACCACTTGGCAGTTAACATTGAGGGCAGTTGGCTTATAAGCCACTCGCTCTGTGAAAACCAGTTGATCGCTCAGCCAAGATCAACAATGATTATAGTGCACTTGGTTAACGCCATTTATGCCACGACGAGGACATTAATTATAATTCTACCCAATTCTTGTTCGTAGCTCTAGCGATAAAATGTCGACAAAACCTAAATTTAATTTCGAGAAGGAGGGCACCCTGACGATCGGACATGTCGACGAGAACGAGGTCGATCGCGTGGCCGAGAGCTTCAAAGGACGCAGCCTGTTCATTACGGGCGGCACGGGCTTTCTGGGCAAGGTGCTGGTGGAGAAGCTATTGCGGTGAGTACAACGGGGAGCTAACGAAAATATGCCTCAGCTTATTTACTTGTATATGTATATCAACTTTAATAGGCACACCTGCTTGACCTGAGTCTTGGGATTCACATTTACCTTTAGTTGAGCCCAAAGCAAAGTCTAGCAAATAAATATGATCTAATATACACAAAAACTTGAAATTTCTAGGGAAAAACATGTGAGTTTAAGTACCAAAGACTTAAATACTCTGGTACCTATCGTTGCCATAAAATCGATCAATGCACCATGAGAGGTGAATATAGTTAATACATGCAATGCATGTTTGGTTATTAAGATCTATTGAAAGATTGCAAAATTTTAAAACGGGAAAACGTTTTCAAGGTAGCATTGCTAAGTTTCATAAGTCAGCTAGATAAACAGAATTTATGATCGCTTAGTTCAATCACCGATTGATGCCAATATTCAAGTCGACTTAACGCTTATGATCTAAAGACATTAAAAAATAAAAATAAAAAAAAGAACCTGTAGTGAGGTAAAACATTTAACACTTCTGCATGGCACCGATGCTGAAATACTCTAGGAAACTTCTAATATTCTAGATATTCATTTGGGTTTATACTAAGTGCCATTCGCCGAAACTTTAAATGTATATTTCATTTGTGTAACTTTTGACGCTTGCAAGACAAACACAATATGCCCACAGTTAGGGTATACAAATGATATAAACTGCAAGTTAATATAGCTCGTATCTTAGGCTAGGTTTAGACTATAAAAGCTGCGTGCTTTAACCTAGAATAAAAAACTAGCCGTTGCATAATAAGCGGCATGTCTAATAAATTAAATTTGGCCATAAGTGGGCGGGTGGGTTAGCTGGTTGGCTGCGTTGGCTAACAGCTGCCGTAGCAACAGCCGCAGCCGGCACACGTGACCTCAATAATTCTCAATAAACTGAGATTATGCGTTATTAATTTTTGCAGCTCGTGTGGTGGGCTAAAGCGCATTTACTTGCTCATACGCCCCAAGAAGGGCAAGGATTCGCAGGAGCGCATTAAGGATATATTCCAGAATGTGGTAAGGCAAAATGACTAATGAAACTGAATTAATAAAACTGGATGCGAGGCTAATGCAACCCTATCAATTGGCCAGCTTTTCGACCAGGTGAAGCAGATGCGCGGCGAACAGCACATCTTGAACCAGGTGGTGGCCATAGCCGGAGATGTGATGCTGCCCGGCCTGGGCATCTCTGAGAAGGATTTGGAAACGCTGCGCAACGAGGTGTCCATTGTGTATCACTGCGCAGCGACAGTGCGGTAGGCATATGGATATATGCCCCCTGCAGACCTTTTCTTAACTTCTCTCATTCCTATTCCATCTCAGCTTCGATGAGCCCTTGCGCAATGCCGTCTTCATGAATACCCGTGGCACTAAGTACATGCTGGAGCTGGCTGGCACTCTGAAGCATTTGGATTTCTTTGCCTACTGCTCGACGGCCTATTGTCATTTGCATGTGAAGACTTTGTATGAGAAGCCCTATGATCCGCCGGCGAATCCTCACCAGGTGATTCAGGCATGTGAGTGGCTAACCGACGAGGAGGTGTCGCTTATCGAGCGTAAGATTCTGGGCGATATACCCAATACTTATGCGTATACCAAGTCCCTGGCCGAGGCTTTGGTTGTGGAGAAATTCAGCGAATTGCCAGCTGTTATTTTGCGTCCATCGATTGTCATACCCATTTGGAAGGAGCCCATTCCTGGCTGGACAGACAATATCAATGGACCCACGGGACTACTGATTGGCGCCGGCAAAGGTGTCATACGCACCATGTACTGCAACTCCTCTGGCTATGGTGACTTCTTGCCCGTCGATGTGGCAGTCAATGGCATTTTGGTTGCCAGTTGGCGCAACATTACGGCCGGCACGGATCACACGAATCGTGTTGCCCACATGACCTCCTCGAATGACATTAAAGTCTCCTGGGCAGAGATTATTGAGCTGGGTCGTTGGGTTATCGAGAACAAGGTGCCGTTGAATGGCGTGGCTTGGTATCCAGGTGGCTCCATGAAGTCCAACTACTACATTCATTACATCTGCATGGTTCTCTTCCAATGGCTGCCAGCTCTGTTTGTGGATGCGTTGCTCTTGCTTTTCCGATATCCGCCTGTGTAAGTGGACTATATCAAGCATAGCTAGGCTAATTAAAATTTCATTTTATTGAATCCCTAGTCTCTGTCGGGTCCAGAATCGCATTACAAAGGGTTTCGAAGTGTTTGAGTACTATGCGAACAACGTTTGGAGTTTTGATAATTCAGAAGCTGTTAAATTACGAAAGTTAATGAATAATAAGGAACGGAAAACATACGTCATTGAGAAGATTGATCTGGATTTGATAGACTATTTCACCAATTGCGTTCTGTGTGCTCGTCGCTTAATACTGAAAGAATCGGATGAATCGATACCCGCGGCCAAGCGACATATGAAAATGTAATTTCTGAAATTTTATTATGAGCGTCATTTATTAATTTTTAACTTTGCTTACAGCATGTGGTTTGTGGACAAGCTGTTCAAGTGCATGTGGCTCTTTGGCATCCTATATATGCTCTATAGATGTTTCTTCGCCAGCTAAACTCAGTTTCACATTAAGTTTAGTTAAGTGCTGGAGACCAAAACCAAGACCGATTGTTACTTTTTGTATGCCTATAAGTTGTTTAGCTTTAGTTGGTGCTGTTTAGCTGTTTAGTAATAAGTTTTTGAATGGAGAAAATAAAACATTGAAATATCAAATCAAAAATACACATATTTGAAATTTGGCGCCTTCGATATGGATTTTTAGCCCGAGGTGCTTATCGATAAGTATCTGAGTGCAGCCCACCAACAGTTGGCGTTCGATATATCGATAGCGGCAGTTGGTCTAGCTATCGCATGTAGATATTCCTTAGTTGTGTACACACTTTTTCCCAGCAGACCAACAAATTCTGCGCTTGCAATATACATCTAGTGAAAACTTAAAACAAATTAATCAACATGTTGGGCCGCAGCAGTGTAATTGCACGTAACTTCTCCCAATCGATGGTGCGCTATGGCGGCCATGGTGGTATTCCCGGTGAGGTAAGCAGCTATTGATCGAATGGCGTATTCCTCTTGTTACATAACTTGCACAAACGTAATCCTTAAGGAAAATCAAATGCTGATATCACATTGCATATCAATATTTCAATTATAGAACCTGCCCTTCAGCCTGCAGAACAAGTATAGGATCACAGCTCTGTTCACCGTCGGCTGCGTGTTGGGCTTTGGTGCGCCCTTCCTGATCGTTCGTCATCAGCTGTTGAAGAAGTAAGTGGCATCCGCAGCCCCGACAGCCGCAGCCACAACAAAAACAACGATCTGCATAAAATAAAAACGTGTAAGGTTAGTTTTTATTTATATTCCAATTGAATTTGTTGGACAATTTTCTAATTTTTGTGCATTGTTTTTGCAGATTACGTTGTTGTTTGTTGTAGCCGCCACATGTCGGTCAATGTGTTGCAGTTTTTACCTTTAAGTCAAAAGTTTAAACCGTAATAAAGTTACCCAAACCTGAAACACAAGAATGTTGGATGTTTTCCCTTAAGTATAAATATAAATATAATAAGTAGGCTTTGTTTAAGGGAGCGATAATGTATACATTTGAATTCATAGTTGACAGACATTATTCATATTTCGTGTTGAACGTATCGCATCAGTATAATTTCTAAAATATCAGACTTTAATTCTAAAAACAGTTTATTTTTCGATTCATAAATATGTTTGCTCTACGCGCTGAGGTACGCAAATTATATGCGCCTCTCACTCGCCAAATGTCCGGTTATCCCGGTGGCGTTCCAGGCTTGGTAAGCTCTAGTATATGTATATCTATATATACGATCTGCAACTGAGCCTCCTCCTATCGCAATAGAATCTGCCCTTTCGCCGGGCTCTTGAGAACCCAGTGCGTTTGACTATATCTTGGTTAATTTTGGGCATTCTTGGATTTGGTGCTCCATGGCTGGTTGTTCGTCATCAAATGCTGCGCAATGTCACAACTGAGCCGTAAGCTGAGCAATAAGTATTGTCAGTTAATAGTTTATTAATATTTTAAATTCTACAGCTCTGAATAGACTCTAGACATTATGAAATAATAATGTTTGGTGTTCCTGCAAAAGAAGTAGCGGTTTATTTGAAAAAAAAAAAAAAAAAAAACAGTTACTCCTTAACACATGCGTATTATAAATAAAAATGGAATTGCACATCTAACATTTTATTTCGTTTCAATTGGACAAATATAATTTAGACATAATTCTAAATTCAGTTATTGTCGATAAAGTTCAAAATAGATCACCTGTTACAGGTGACATGATCATAGAAATTCGTTAATTCACTGAATCGGTTATTGTTCACAATTCTTCTCGGCCACCAAAATCGTATTCCTCTTGCACGGGCGCATCGTCACAATATTTGGCCTGAGTCGAGCAGATTTTAATATCCAAATCGTTGCCCAGCTCTTCCGCTTGGAAGGCTTTAAGAAATACCTCTTCATTATCATCGAGCACCTCTAGACAAAAGTGGCCCAGACTTTTGTTTAGATCACCATCCTGTACAAAATCAACGAGCGACGATTCTGGATTCATTTGGCCGTTGACTATCATTTTGAGTAGCGCAAATTTGCCATTGCTCTTATAGGTGGCCTTTAGATAGTCATCCATCTTTTCACCTGAAAAATGGAGATGGTGAATATGATATCTATACAAATATATATCATAGGGGCTACTCACAAATCTTTTCCATTAGCTCCGTTAGAAACATTTCTGATTTAATGTAGCGCACGCGTTTGCTAATGGAATTGCCATGGGCATCCAGTCGAAAGCCGCTTACGTCTACCATCTTGTTGGCATCCTCTTTCGCTATGGCATCCTCAAGCTCCTGCACCGTTGCCTTGCACACTGAGGGAAATCGGTTAGTAATTGCCAACAGGTTGTCTTGTCTCGTTCGCCTCACTTACCATGGCATTTAACTTCTTTTGATGTAAAGCTGTAGCTGTGCACTTGAGCAACGGCTAGCAACAGAAAGCAGCATAATATTAAGTCACTCATTGTATTCATAATTTATAACTATTTATAATTTACAATTTATTTCTAATTATTACTGTTCAACTGTTTAAACCACGTCAGCACAATTTAAACTGAGAGCTCCGAGTTGAATGATAATTGACAGGCCGACTCGCACTAATTGTGGCGACAGCTAAAGCGACGACAATCCCAGCAAAATGATTTAAGTTAGTACTTCAATGTTTTGCTAGCCGCTCGAATTTAGTAGATAAGAATAAACGCGGTTGCTACCTCTCTTCCAAAATTATCAACAATATAACAAGAGTTTAACAGTGGTGTTTACTGTAAAGCGGCATAATTGAACATTTTTCTAACCTGTTGTTAACAGCGAGCAGCTATTTTTAACAGAACTTCGGCAGTACTAGATTCTTAGAAACATAAAATTTAAAAAAAATATATCTTGCATTTCTTTTTTATGAATTTGTAAATAAAATATAGCTAAATTTAATTAAACACCTATTAGTGTCACATTCATTTAAATTTTAACAGCTATCACGCAGCTCTGTTTCTAATGTTAAATAACAGCACAGAAAAGTGATCAGCTGTCATTTAGTTTTGGTATTTTGCCAGTATTTTAATTCACACATTTAAATTGTTGGCGGCCTGTGTTTGCTGGCGAAATTGTATTCTCTTGCATAATTTCTCTCTCCTAGGTTCTGCTGTGAGATTAAAGATAATATGTAGTATATGTTTGAAATGCGCAATGCTGATAACTAAAGGCTCAGTGTAAATAAAGTAACTCTCGCGAGCGGTTCATCGAGACGCTATTGAGGCAAATATTCAACAATTAGAAAATATAAAATAAAGCAAGCCGAAATTGTTGTAACTGTTGTTGTTGTTGTTGCTGCTGCTACTGTTGTTCCGGCCGGTTTCATTTGTTAGTGTAACATAACACTTAAAGCATTTTGTAAATTAATGCCCACGACACTCGCAATTCAGTATTAATTCCAATAATTTTTTATTAAACAATTTCGTTTCGAGATCACGTATAATTGGCGTTAATTGATCGTGTGTCTGCGCTCTGCTCTGTGTTTGTATCTGAAGACTGCGGCTGTGCAATGAGCATCGTAGACACAGAAGCACATTCTCTTCTCTCCTGTGGTTCAGTGCTTGTGTTCATTTAATTGATAAGAATAAGCATTTGTGTGCACAGTTCATTGTGGAATTGTATTTGCTTAGCTATATATTTAATGTGTGATAAGTCAATATGCAAATTAACGTTGGCAAAATTTCATAATTTATTTAAGAATGAATTCAAGCTTTTGCTATCAATTCATTTGCTTTCCTGATCTACAGCCCATGTGTCCATGCGTCGACAGCTCTGACCCAAAACTCTGGGCAAATGCGATAAGCGTGCCCATTAAAGTCTTTCAAAATCAAATAAACATTAAATTCGCGTGAAAAGTGAGAAGAAACAAAAGTAAACAATTCACAGTCAATTCTGCGCTGTCTGTTGGTGCTGCTGCTGATGCTGCTGCTGCTTTTGAACTTTAAGCTAAAAGTTCGTTGAAATATAATTGATTAAAATATACGAGTGCATGAAGCACATCTACGCTGGCGCCATCTATGAGCCGGTTGCGTAAACTGCCGACAGCCGGTAATGTGGCACAGTTCATAGCAAGGCGATAATCAATTGAAAATGTGACGACAGGTGGGAAAGGAAATGAATGAAATGAAATACCAATTGCTGCCTAAACTGAAATCTGAAATACCTATGCTCATTTGATGCATAGGTATTTCATTTATATGTTACACTTTAATTCGTGTGTTATACCATCAAAACCGGCAATAGTACACTCTCCAATAACCGAAACCGCATCTTCCTGGCATGTACAACTGGCTTATTTGCGCATCTTACGCTGCGAGATCTGACTCTGGTTTGCCCGGGTTTGTGGACAGGATCTCATCTTGACTCACTTTCTGAACCTCCTGTACGCCAGCTTGCTGAAGATCTACTGGCTTGATGGCAGCGTATACCAAAGTCAAGGACATGAGTACAGTAAGCACCAGGATGAGCTTCATGGTTGTTGTAGTTTTTGCTGAAATTTTCCTCAATCGGTATAACTTCTGACTTGTAAAGACAGTGAACCAAAGTATTTTATACCTGAAACACAGATTTGTCTCTATAAATATGTATGTATCCAGATAAGTCAGGGGGCTCTCAACAGAGTACTAATATTGCTGGTCAAATACGGAAAGATTAAACGGAACATTATTTAATTTATTTAGCTGGTGTTGATCTGCTTATGTAGGTCATGAAATTTTCGGTACTTTAACTGGGATCTGATTTCGGTATATAGAAGAATACAACATTTCTTTCTTAACACCTGTCGCTTTTAGGAGGAGGAACATATTCAACAGCTTAAAGTCTTCTTCATGTTTATCCGTTGAATCACCATTGAGTCTCTATAGATGTGTATAGCGATTGGATTCCTGATCAAATCCATGTACAGAGATTTCAATACTTTAAGTTATCGAATATATTTAATACACTTCAGATATATATAAATGTGAATACATATTTTATTCCAAGTAACTCAACGTCTACAAACACACACAGCCTTATCATTACAATAGCCGCCGCTCTTGCCTAGCCCAATGCAATGCACAGCACAGGCTGAGTGATTCACACTGAAGCCGCTTAGCAGATCGCATGTGGCACGCTTTAGCCGACTGTGTAACTCCTGCTGAGTTGGTTCCACGGCCCCGGGTTCGCGTTCATCGAGTGAGTCCTGTGGCAAGAGTTGTGCCTGGGCGAAGTAGACCACGACAGCCAGGAGAACGCCTAGGTATACGATGAACTTCATGGTTGCTGCTAAATGCTCCAGATAGACTTTCGGCTGAGATACTATTGATGCTCATTGAGACTCACACAGTCTTTTATATGCGGGAAAGCGCGACCTTATCTGGGTTCATAAGTTGAGTTCAGCTCAGGGTGTTCCCAAATGGGGAAGTCTTGCAAAGGTACTTTATAAATTCATATTGCTTTGAGGAGTGTTGATAAGAGCATCTACATATATACATATGTGTATGCATGTATACATGCATGTATTTATGTATGTATGAATATATAACGAAGCGTAAACTTAACAAGATCTAGACTGTATAGAATATTTATCGAAATTTCGCTGGAGCGTGCAAAATTTCTTGTATAAAATAATTTATTATTCTTTTTAAGAACTGTGCAATTAATTTGGTTTGAGTTTGTTTTGCTTAACACAAGATTGTTCTACTCGTTTAAGATTTAAACAGAGCATATTGGTTGGCTGTGATAGCTGTTTGTTGCAGAGACTTTGGGAATATACTCTCATCTATACAGGCGTCTTAGGCTTTTGAGTGGAAATATAACTTTATTTTCTTATGAAATCTTTATTAAATCAAATCGGCAAAAATAAAAATACTCTTAATAGGGCAAGGTATATATAATATATTACCAACAGCAAGATGGGTTTCATGGTTCCAATAGAGTCTTTCACATCCGCAAACTTTCTTACTGTATAAGCAGCTTTAGTTCTTGAACGAGTATCATGCAATCGTTTACATCCATATTCAACGAAATGCTTTGATTTTCCACTACAATGCTTAATTGTTTTGCAAGTGCGCAGATTCCAATACCAAATCCAAATCAAATTGCGACTTCGATTGAGATTGCGATTTCGATTCTAATACTCTGCAGCTACAGCTATAGATACAGATACAGATACAGATACAGATTTAGCTGCAGATACAGCTATAAATGCGCAGCTATAACAAATCATTTCAGCCGAATTGTAGCTTCAAGAACACAAACAAACAAACCCAATAAATAAGAAGAAGCATCACAGAATGATTAGTTAAGTACACGAGCGGGCGTAATGTTTGTCTTGTCTCTGTATCTTTGTATCTGTAGCTGTATCTGCATCTGTATCTGTTTCAATTTTGGGTCTTTTTTTGTTGTTTGTGTGTATGTGTGTGTGTCTGTTGATCAACATCGAAGTGGAGAGGGGGGACTATCAAATGCGTCTTCATCGTTGTCCATTGGACTGTGGCTATTATTATTATTGACACCGCTCGAGTGGTTTCTTCTTGTACCCCTTTATTGAATGGACTCCGTGTTACAGTCTCTGCCTCTCTGTGTGTGTGTGTGTGTGTTTACCTTTGTTATCGACGTTGGTGTATTGAATTTGGCGTCATACTGTCTGCCAGTCGCTGTCTGAGCCTACCAATGCACACACACACACACACACACACACGCACACACACACTTTGATATCTATAGCATGTTCGGCTGGCCATAAAAGAAGACCACAAAAAAAAAGACTACACAATGGACTGAAGGGGGTAGAGAGCGGGTCAGAGGCAAGGGCCGCTGCTTTTGCCGTCACACTGTCTGGCAGGTTTCACACACACACGCACACGCACACAGTGACAGGTACATGGACATGGGCACCGGCCGGCGGGGCAGCAACAGCAGCAGCAGCGGCAGCGGCTGCGGCAGCAGCAGCTCTATAAATCACAGACGTGCGACTGACTGCCTGGCAGGCAGGAGAGGCAGGAGCTCTGTGTGTCTCAGACCCAGTCTCAAGCCCAGTCCCAGTCTCAGTCCCAGTCCCAGTTGCAAGTACATAGCTCACGTTTTTCCTTTTCTTCTCCTTTTATTTAACTTCGTTTTTCGTTTTTTTTTTTTTTTCGCCTTTACCTTTGCTTGGGCCACAGCTGGCTCAGAGATCGCGTCGCTGATCCCACCAACTGGCAGTGGCTTCTTTTTGTTTTAGGCTCTTTGGCTGAGGCGAAAACCTCTTCAGATATACAAAGGAAGATAAATTTCACACTCGCACACACATGCAGAGAGAGTGAGAGAGGATCGCTGTGCCTTTATGCTAAGCGCTCGCTGTCCAGGCCAGGCCAGGCCAGGCCAGACCGGACCAGTATAAGCAGGCATAAAGATAAGATATGGCAGTAGACACTGCCAGACATTGTGGCGACATCGACGATATTGTCGATGCGATGCCCAATGCGGCTGACCAATGCCTCGCGTATATGTTGCTCTCTCGCTCATTTGGCTATCCCTTTCGCTGTGCGCGCGCTCTGTCTCTTTTGCGCGCATACGCTTGCACACGCTCGTTCGCCCCCTCTCTCTCCCACTCTCACTCTCTCACTCGCTCGGTCTGTGGCGAGGGCCACTTTAGGCCACATACATATACACATATACATATGTATATATTCCCGACTATACTCCTATTGAACTGCTTGCGTTTCAGTCGTATTTGAAACTTGGCGACGCACGGTTTGGTTTTTCACTTTTTGTCAGTTTTAGTCTCGCGCTCTGCGGCTCGATTTTTCACTCTGTGTATAATTTTTGCGCAAATACAAACAAGCAAACAGCAAACAGTAAACAGTAAACAGCAAACAAACAACAAACAAACAAGCAGCAGCAGCCGCAACAACAACAACAACAACAATAGCTATAGCTTTCATAAGTTCATATAAAGCTAAAATACATCGAGCACTCGGCCATCGATATACATATACATATACATATATATATATTTATATCTAGAGTATAGACATATGCGTAACATCCAATCTCTATCAACCGAATTGGCCAAGATTTGAGCCAAAAATAGCCCGCCGGATATCGATAAACAAATAATATATAAAGCAGACAACAATTTCTAACAGAAACCAACGCGAATTGCGAATTTGTGCAAAAAGTTTGAAATATCTGAGCAATATATATATTTTATATACCATATACATAGGTATATATAATGCAATAATCAGCTTGTGCTTGTGCCATTAATAAATTACCAACTAAATCTATTGACACTTGAATCAAAAATCTGAGGAAAATGTTTATCAAATGCTTAAGCATTACATTTTGTGTGCTGCTCGCGCAGCTGATGGTCGAGAGCTTGGAGCAGCAACAGCAGCAGCAGCAGCCACAGGAGACGCGACTTGATCTGCCCGTAAGTTAACCGAGAGCGTGTAAATCCCAAGAAAACACTTGAATATTCCAGGTATTAAGAGAGTAGAGCAAACTGTGATTGAGCCTGATTGCTACAAATTGTCTGCACAGTCGGACTTTGACTTTTTAGCCAGCTTTTGTTCCTCTCTTGTTCTTCTTTTTTTTTGCACCTTCTTTTTGTATTATTTTTGTATTTTATTTTTAAGTTGAAGAGCTGCCGCCGCGCTGTCTGCGATTTCTGCTTTGCCGGCAAATACCCTAGCCCCCAGCCACAGTCCCCTAGCCCCCAGCACCAGGCCCCTTGCCGTTCCTCAAGTCTGCGCGCAGCTCCTGCTCGGCTTTGGCTTTGGCTTTGTTTTTGTTTCATCTGGCCGACGAACGTGTTTTGTTGTTCTCTTGCCTCTTGCTTTTTTTTTTTTTTTTTTTTTTTTGAGGAGCAGCAAAAGAATCGGCACAAAAAGTGCTGAGATGTAAAATATATAAAAATGGTCACAAGTCAAAAGCGTTTTGGCCAGGTAGGAATAGACTGTGCGAGAGAGAGAGAGAGAGAGAGAGAGAGAGGGAGCGGGAGCGAGAGAGTGGGCAGGGGAGGGGAGGCAGATGGCCCATTGGCCATTGGCAGTGTCCAGTTCCATTGGCACTAAGCTGCCCGCTCAGCCTGATGATGACAAAGTGTGAAGCCGTATTTCAAGTGCTGTTCTCAGTCTCACCCCGAACTCTCCCTGCCCGCCGCCACGAGCTCCACTGCGAGCGTGAGAACTGTCAGTCAATAATTGTTTTTTTTTTCTCCTTTTTTTTTTTTTTTTTTTTGTGTGTCGTTATCGAACATAACAATCCTTGAGCTGTCGCCATATATAAAAATGATATATTTCTATATATACAGGGAGATGTGTGCAGGGTATTTTAGACTCATATACATCTTCACATTATGGCTGGCACGTTGCTGAATAACGCCCTTTTTTGCATAGGAAACAGAAAGAAATGCCATTTGCATTAACAATTAGACAATTGGCGCCCCGCATTTGGACGAATTCATAAGTTAATACAGATGAGCTAGAGACAGTCTCGTATATCATTCCTCGCTACTCGCCTTACGACATCTGCGCTGAGCCAGCACTATTTGCATATGGTATATAGAATATAAGTATATGTATATAAATATATACATTTCTATATTGTATGAATTTCATGTTTATCCATGTGTCTAAGGCAATTCAAAACGGCGACTCACCTGTTCACGATCGATTCGATTACAGCGCGATGCCAGCGCGTGCTCCAAAAATCAAATAGAACTCGGAGAGTCAATACAAAATGGCTACGCCTCTGCCCTAACTGACATTGTGTATGTGTGTGTGTGCGTGTGTGTGGTTATATACCTGATAAGAAGTCATTGTTGTACAATTGTATAACATTTCTCTTTTTGGGCTACTGGTATTGAGTTTCCATTCTTCAAATATGGGACTTACAAATGATAATTGTTATGCATTCTTTTTATGGCTGTTTGCTCTATTGTCGAAGAGTTTGTTGAGTAAGAATTTTGGGTTATTGTGGAACGAGAGCAGCTCAATTGGTGTTTATTGAAAGCTATTGAGTTGAGGGTATACGAAATGGAACTCGTGTAAATAAGACATTATTGAATAGTTAAGCTGAGGAACGTGGAATGAAACAAATGCAAGCAGCTCGGACTCACATGTTGACGTCTTTGAAAGCAGCTTTAATGATATCTTATAAGCCTAAGAATATGGCATGGAACTAAATCGGATTGAATATGCTCGTATATGAAACATTTAAAGCAAGCTAAACAGAAATTCTAATTAGTTAAAAAAAGCTTTAGTATATATTAGCTATAACAATACAAAAGTGTTAGAACATGGTCTGAAACATTGTAACTCTAATTGCTCTAATTGCTACTATAAAAAGTTTTAAAAATATACAAGTTTTTTTCAATTACCGCAGCTTTCATTATAATTGATTATCTTACGAACATGAATTGGAACATTTAAACTGAAACTTAAAAAGCTATTAAGATGAAACTAAAGCAAGTGATTTTATGACGCAAATGTTGCAAACTCTAAGGTGCTAAACCAGTTGTAGAATTTTATATTTAATAAAAAATAATAATTGTATCTAAGAACTTATCCAATGTGCACATAAAAATTGTTGAAATACGAGCACCTCGATGTCATCTAATAGTTCCCAATCATAGTAGAAATATCTTGTGCAGTTATACAACTCAATTTCGCACGGCTTTTGAGCGCAGCTTGTAACTAATTAGTGTCAAGAAAATTGTTGTAGTTTATCTAAAGAGCAGCAAATCGACGATAAAAAGTGGTAGTCGCTTTTAGGCAGAAGTAAACGACTGGCAGATACCCTGTGCGATTAGCGTTATAGCTGAGATGACTCCATGGTATATGGTATATGGGTAAGAAAGGGATCCACAGACACATGAGCAGTTGGACAGGCAGACGAGTGGTACAGAGAGTAGACAATCAGGAAGACAAACCAAGGAGGAATCGATCAGACGGGTATACAAAGTGAGGATGGATTTTCTGATAGACAGATAGATAATAGATAGATAATATAATATCTGGTCCGACGAACAGGCAGATAGACAACGGATATAAGGCGTAACGGATATATGCAACAAGGGACGATCATAATCATAATCAGCCACGCACTTCGGTACGCCTGTTACACAAATTTGCATATAGTCGGGTATATCATGCCCGAAATTCGCATTTTCAATAGGGTATATAAAAGCTGCTGCAATGACAAAACCCAAGCGCTACGCAATTGCAAGGGGAGGCGATGTGTGGGGGACAAAATAGTATTTTTTTCATACGCTCGTTATTATTTGGAGTAAACTAGAATTACGCGTAGTCAGCTCGAAAAAAGTTTTTTAAAAATTTTTTTCTGCTTCAAGTGGTTAGCCAGTTGGTCTGGCCATAATATTTGGCCAGACATTCAAATGGTGGCAGCCACTGAGATGCCATATTCAAGTTATATGGCTTGAATCAGTTTGATTTTCAGTGCTCTTGCACCGTGCCCCGCGAGCGATCCCAGCCCGGCCAACTGATTCGTATGCAAGACTTGATTTTGGCGACCATAAATGTAATAAATCATTTAACGCGTGCTTGATATTATTATTTATAACTGCCTATCTCTCCCTCTCTCTCTCTCTCTCTGTATATATTTATATATACATATATGTATCTTAACGTATTTTGGCGTGTAAGTCGCATAGTAAAGCAAATATTTTACTCACACCTTCACTTCTCTCACACCTTTTTGCCAGCTGTCGCAGTCGCTGTCCGAGTGCGCCGCCAAGCAAGGCGAATGCGACGAGAGCGAAATGGAGCCTGTTTGTGGCACAGACGATCAGACCTATCCCACACGCTGTCACCTGCTGCGGGTGCAGTGCAGCGGCCATCAGGTTAGCCTTAAGCATCGCGGCAATTGCAAAGGTAAGAACTGAAGCTTTAGCTGGGAATTCCCTATACATCTCCTTCTCTATCTCTCTCTCTCTCTCTCTCTGTGTCTACACCTTTAGGTTGCCTGGTGGCACGTCAATATGCTAGGCGTGAGCGTGAACGCAATCCGAAAATATTCTTTCCGCGTTGCCGCAGCGACGGCAACTATGCAGCCGTACAGTGCCTGGGCGACACCGGCTGCTGGTGCAGCGACAGCAGCGGTAATCCCATTAAGAACACATCGACGCGCCGCAGCCGACCGAAGTGCAGCGCCTTCAGGCGCAGCAATCGTCGGCGATCGCCTCAGCGTCAGCTCAACTCTGATGCGGATAGCCGTGAAGCTGGCAACGGACACCGGGCGTGCAGCAAAACGGATCGCCAGGCATTCAATAGTCACTTAATCGAATTGCTGCGCAACGAGCACGCCAGATCCGGCCAGACGTTGCCAGCCGGTGGCTTGAGCGATGCGGCTATACTGGATTGGAAGTTTGCCCAAATGGATGGGAATGCCAATCAGTTGCTGGACAGGCAAGAAGTGCGTGAGCTCAAGAAGCTTGTCAAGCGGGTGAGTAGCTATTGCTGTAGCTGTCCATGTCACTCAGTCAACCACAATATAACTCGAAACTCGAAACACTCTATTTTGTATGCACACACACACACACACACCTATACACATATGCAGTTGGTTAAGCCCAGACGTTGTGGACGTGCCTTTGGCAAATACTGTGATGTCAACAGAGACGATAGCCTGTCCCGTCTGGAGTGGAGCAGCTGCCTGACCAAAGATGCCAGTCAACGTAAGTAGCTCTTTAAATATAATATAGAATACTTAACTGCATGGGGAGTATATGAGAATCACAGAGAGAGGCAATGCATGATATCAACTGTAGACTAAGTATTGCATGTTCTGGGAATATTGAGCTGTATAACTAAATGGAACAGTAACTTGACCTGGTGATAATCACTGAGAAAGGCAATAGGAAAAACTAGTTCAGAAATGATGTTCAGTAATGATGTCTTAGGTTTCATCCGTTTGCTTATCTATTCATATATCACAGCCTCCCAAGTGCTTTGTGAAAATCACAGAGAAATGCAGCACTTGCAGTTACAACAGCAACCTTAACTACTTTGTAATAATCATAGAGAAAGGTATTAATAGCATACCTAACCCGGGGCAGTACTTTAAGAATATGAGAATCACAGAGAGAGGCCGTGCATGATGTAGTCCTGTTGCATGAGTACCGAAATTTGTAATATTTACTTACCTTAACCATAAATGTTTATGTTGTGTGTGTTTCTCTGTTCTCTGTTTCTTGTTTCCATCTACCAAACCAAACAAAATTCCTGCCGCCCCCCTCCATCTACAGGTAAAATGCTGACAAGCAGTCCAACGATCAGCTCCATTATATCGCCCACAATACCACGTCGCACGCATTATAACATACACCATACAAATATCAATCAAGATCATACAAACACGAATATAATCGGAGGCAATTCGCGTATCCATGAGCTGGGCAATGGAAGCGAGGAGCACGACGATGATGACTATACGGGCGAGGTTGAGGACTCGAGCATGACACAATATTCACATCGCATATCGCCAGTTAATTGTACGTACCTCTGGGGCTACGAGACTAACGAATTTATTTTTGAATAATACATCCAAGTAACATCCAATAGCACTTGGCATGCTTTCAAAGGGCAGTATCGAGTCTATTCTAATGGGCCTTTCGTTCACAGTTCTGATGGACAAAACAGCTGAGACAACGAACAACGACAGCGAAGTCGATGCCAACTGCTGGACAGATCGAGCAGTGGCACGTGAGGAGCAGCGCGTAAGTCCAATCGGATCCAACTTTCTCCCGGCCCAATCGCCCAATATCCATGCAACGATGTTAACTTGAAAACATTTTCAGCATGATGGCAACAGATCGTTCTACGTGCCCGAATGCATGCCCGATGGTCGCTATAAGCGGGTTCAGTGCTACAGCTCCATCTGCTGGTGTGTCAACGAGGAGACGGGCAAGAATATTCCTGGCACCTTCGGTCAGACGAGGCCCCAGTGTGATGAGGTCAGCGCCGTGCGACCCATGAAAGGCTGCACCGAACCACGAAAAACGCAATTTCTCAAAGAGCTCAAAGCGTTTTTCAACACTCAAATATTACCCAGCAGTAATTCGGGGTAAGTTGATATATTAAATGCATATGCCTCCAATGACTAAGCCAACTATATATAAAATCTAGCAACTCGACCTTGTGGAAGTCGGAGGATGAACGCATTGCCACGCTGAGTTTTGTTTTTCTGGACAAGAACAAAAACAAGTCGTGGGAGCGCAAAGAGTGGAAGGTCTTTCGTGATCTGGTCACCAGATCCAGGTGTGTAACTTTTCTATTCTCGAGTAAATTGTTTTCTTTTTAATAAAAACGTCCTTTGCAGCAATTTAAGCAAATGTGGCAAAAAGTTGCCACGCTACTGTGATGCGAATGACGATAAGATAATCTCGTTGTCCGAGTGGTTGAACTGTCTGCAATCGCAGCGAGCAGAGAGCACCACGACTGCCAAGCCGACACAGTCAAGTGAGTGTAGATTACCTCATATATACAACAATTTCATACTAATTCTTCCGCTGTCCTCTTCTCACTCTTTTTCTTTTAGACGAGACGGCTACGTCGAGGCTCCTGGGATCAAATCCGTTGGAGCAATATCTTAAAGATTAGTTTTTTATAATGATGAACGTTGCTTGTTTTTGGGCTGCTACTCATTAGATGTCGTGCCATGTTGCGAGGAAGTGCTTGAATATATTCACTCACTCATACACACACACACAAACACAAACATATACACACTCACACTCACCCGCACACACACTCACATTCCTAGCATATAGATTCTACGATTCACATATGTATGTAATTAGTGTTGTAAATATTAATGAATATAAATGTTTAGGTTAATTGTAATGAAACACTGATCACAAAATGATCAAACTTAAAATATTTGAATATTTTTTCATTGGCGCGCATACTATTGCAGCCAACTTCACGGCGTGCCAAGCAAACGTGCGCTTACAATCCCACCACGCTCAAATTTGCGTCGCTTAAGGTCGGCTGCGCACGCATTTTTCTGCTCCACTGCAGCCCGCCAATAAGTTTATCGATAAGCATTTCAGTTTAGTTAAAACCGTAAAATCGCGTGTTTCACTTTATTTGGTTAGCAATATAACACTAAATAATTATATATTTATATACATAGACTTGAATATCGATAAACCTGGGTACGTTTCGTGAATTATATACATACTTAATAGTATACTAAATGCATCAATTGTTCACAGAACAGAGCAAGAGTTGCTTACAAAATTAGGTAGTTTTTGGTTTTCTTAATAACAAACTTGACAAATTGCTGTATGGTAACTCGAATGCCATTGAAAAAACAATGGACGCCAGGTAGACAATCAATGTAAATCCGCAACAAATAATGCACTGAAATAAACAAATGCTTATTATAACAAAATATAGATTCATTAACCTACATACCAGCATAATGGGGTCGGCATGCGTGCTGGAACTACTGAGACCGTAGATCAGGGATATTATCAAAGGATTGAGCAAGTAAAAGGCGTAGGATACACGATTCAAATGCTGAAAGCAGCGTGCTTCCAGCAGACGAGACCACCAAACGCCCCGACCCGTTGCACTGCCCACAATCATCCAGCAAACACTCAACGAGAAGCAAATCCGACCCAAGGCGAACAAAACAACGGTTATCATGTAGCCCAAGTCCCGTTTAAATGTCGAGTGGATGCAGATCACAAAAACAAGCAGGCAGAAGTGCCATAGCCAACGTTGTTGCCCCTCACTCAATTGATAGCTGACACGGCGCTCTGCCAGGCAGAAGGCTACTATGGAGCCCACAATGTAGGGCAGCACGCGCACAATGGGATTTATATAGATCTGTGAGCTGGTGCCATAGACTATGTCAAAGGAGAACTCAAAGTTGCTCTTGATGCCAATGCCAAAGGACCACACAATATTGGCCACGAGGCCACCGAGAGTCAGCAACTTAGCCGACTTGGGATGCCTGCAAAGCAAATGAGTTTAATAGAGTGCATACAATTGAGATCCTGATCAACTCACTTGACATATAGAAACAATATGGCATTTGCAATTAAAAAGAATTGCATATCACAGGCCATGCTCCAGCTCCAATTCAGGCATAGATCATTGAAATCATAGAAGTTCTGTATGAAGAGCAAATTGCGCCACCAATGCTGACTGCAGATCTCATCGAAACGTTCATTGATGTGATAGACCGAGGTGTCGCCAATGTAGGCAAAAACCAAATCCACGCTGCCCATGACAATCAGATAGAGTGGTACAAGTCTTAAATAACGATGGAACAGTAACTTGCAAAAGAGCTTCACATTGGCTATAGAACCATTATCACGTATTGCCTGCAATTGCTTTGTATTGCGTAAAAAGTTGTACGTCTGCAAAAAACCACTGTGAAGAAGAAGAAAAATTTAGCAAAATAAGACAGATTAACACAGCTTGTTAAAATTCAAAAATCTTTTTAGCTTCCTCATGTGCTGAACTAGGATATAAGACAAAACTAGAACTTCCCATCTATAATTGGTACATTTAATGTCAGGTTCAGATAACTGACTACTCTCCTTTAAAACTTATTTTAATTATTTTTTAATACTGGAATACGAGCGTTGAAGGACAGCTGGACAATAAACTCAATATATAATATTTCTGTGGCAAGAAAACATTTTTTTAATTAAATACAAGCGCAAGTTAATGTAAGTTCAGATAACACCTAAACTGATATTGTTTTAACAAATTGAAGGACAGCCGTTCAATAAATTCAGTAGGTAATATTTTTCGGCCAAAAAAAGACAACATAATAATATAAAGAGTTCAAGTTTAAGTAAGTTCAGATAATAAGAAAATGTATAGTGAAAAAAACTATGCCAAAGATACAGGACTCCAAAAACTACCTTTCAAACATTTAGTTTATCATATTTAAATCTCTGACAATTTTAGATGCGAATTCAGCACTTCGAAAACCTTTATTGTATTGTTGTATTTTTCAATTCATAAGCAATTCTTTCACTCACCTGATGGTAAAGAAGACATCCACCAACAAGGGAGCCGATGATATGTACTGAAAGAATATCTGCTCGCCATAGGCCAGGAGCGTCGCTTTGTTGTGCACCGTGAAGTACATGAACCACATCACATGGAAGATCAATATGCCGACAGCGCACACAGAGCGTAGTCCATTGAGCAGTGGGATCTCCGAGGAGCTGTTCTCACGCGTGGCAACGATGCGCCGCCAATTGTTGGCCACATCGTAGCAGCTAACGAAGCTCTGCACGGGACGCCACTTGAGCAAAAAATGCAAAGCTCGCCAGATTTCCGATTCGACGGGTGCGAGGCCAGCGCCATCCACATGCCCGTCCGCTGGTAGCTGTTTGGCGACGCTCAACTGCTGGGCGCAGAGCATGAAGGCACAAGTGGCCAACACGAAGCCCACGACAAGCTTGAAGCTCAGCCGGTCGTAGAATACGTCTCTCAGCTTTAGGTCCTTAACGTAGAGCACCTCGGGCTGCATTTCGAAAATGTCGCTGTCCTTGAAGCTGCCCGCCATATAGTCGCTGGTCAACTGTTGTATCTCGCTCGACTTGCACGAGCTGGGCAAACAGAGACCGATGTGTATTATTTGCTCGGACATCAGCTTCAGCTCCACCTGCCAAGGTGAATTGTGTCGCAAATAGATAACGCGATAGTCCATATCAAAGGGCGATTGCTGTGTAATTAATCCGTTATGCATTTGACGCTTGTACTGCTTGGACAGCGTTATGCCCAGAGGTCGCTGCATGCTGCCGCAAGCCTCCCGACTGCCCAGCCAATAGTTTTGGCCAAATATAAAACCCGACGGTTTGCCACCCGAAGCATCGAGCACTGTACAGCAAAAAGTAAAAGGTAAGCTCTTATACCGTTATGATGGTACTCGTTCAGTAATCAATAAGTAATCATCACCTTTTAGAGCCCAAGGCTGTTTGTTGAGGATGCTACGCTGCACGTGCTTCAATTGTGCATGGCAAATGGGATTCACATTGCTCGCATTGGCCACTTCTGTCAATCCGTAGATGATGGAGCTCTGAGCGAGCAGTGCTTCGTGTCTGTCTGTCTTGGCTCCATCATCATCATTCTCGACTTCATTTGCATTCGCTGTCACAGTCACTTCCAAGTCCTTGTTGGACCAGATATTGCTGCCATTAAGAATCGCATGATCAAACGACTGCAACTGCAGCGTCGACTCATTCTGTATGCCAACACAACTCCCCAGCAGGAGACTGAGCCAGAGGGCTGTGGATGATATACCATATCCGTATCGTGGCATATCTAACTGTAAGCAAAACTCAAATGAATTAGTTGCATTGTCAATGCTATATGAATATGCTTGAGTGTTCACTTAACAAGTGTGCAAATACAATTAGTGGCTAGCTGTAGAGCACTGCAGCAATACGGCAATCAATACATACGTAGTCATACCGCATTCACAATACTTGCCCCAGCGGAACTATATTTGAGTAGCTTTCCAGGCTTATCCAAGAGATATCTGAATTTAACAAATAGCCTGTTCATTAGCTGTTAATGACAATGAGCCATAGATCACAGCGCCGCTACCTCGGCCACAAGCAAATCAAGTTCAAATATCAATTACTTTTTGGGCATATCGTAAGTGCGGTTCAATGTCAACCCATGGCATACATATATACATCCACAGCTAACAAATACATAAAATACACACAACAAGTGAAAAAACAATTAAAGTCACAAGTCACCTGAAGGTTTATTGGGGTGTCAGTCAATTACAAACTTGCCAATAATATCACCTCCAAAGCCCTCTTTGCAATTCGTTCCATAATATACCTAATTGCTCTACGAAGGTTTTTCTTTATATAGTTTAAAATGTAAACAAGGCATAGCTCATGACTAAGATAACTACTTTTTGCTAAGATTTAAAATTGTTTTTGCGAGATTTAAAATTGTTTTACATAAAACTGAAATTCTGCCTAGCAGACATCTAGCTGACTGTTATGATATATTTCCTTGCCGTCATGTTTGCCTAGCTGACAGCAGCTGACTGTTATGCTTTTCCTTGTCAGCGCAGCTTGACTGACATCTAGCTGACTGCTATGATTGCATTTTCTTAAAATTTAGTCTTGCATTATCAATGCAATGCAAATGATTAATGAGAACTTTAAATGGCCTATATTAGGTTGTATGATCTAAGACTCCTTTACGCTATATATTTATGGTCAAATGAAGTTTATTTACTTTTCTATGATCTACAACTACTTTGCCTGCTATTATTAGCCGTATGATCGAACTATAAATTTTTGCCAGCTTATTCTCTATTTGCTTTTGCATTATCAATTATGAATTATGTTTAGCGATGGGTAAATACGCGTCTTTTCAGGAAGACTTATAAATATTTACACAGTTGTTCAACGAAATCAAATGCGGCAACTGCGGAGACATTCGTTCAAATGAAGCCCTGCGGCCTCAGCAAACAGTGCGACATGTGCAAAAAATCTGAAAACCAAATTCAATTCATAAAAAACATACTTAAAAAACATACTACTTATATATAGAGTTGTCTGACATAGTTTTTTTGTTTTATTTTTTCTGTAAGCCCCTCTCGATAGCTGGTTAGTTAATTGCTCTTCGATGAAACCATTTCAAGGGCAAACCCGCCTTTGGGTTTTGCATCTCTTTTTTGTTATACTTTTGTTGTTGTTGTGCTTCCCACTCTTCTTCTTCTTCTTCTTCTTATTCAGTTTTTGCTCATATACTATGCAAATCAGCCGGTACCTTCACCTTTAGTGGGATCCGTTTCCATAATGCCCATTTTTGGCAACATATAAAAAAAAAAAAAAAACTGAAGATGTTGCAATCCAATACATTTGGCAGCTAACTCATTTCATTTCGAGTTTGATGATTGCGTTTGGGTGTTAATATAATGAAAATGTTATACAGCCAGTTGGCTGTTCGTGGGTTTGGATGTCTTACTCTATAAATATTATTATTATTATTATGGATTGAAGTCAATGAGCTTGTTTGACCTAAGTCAATATGTAGTCAAAGATGCTTGTCCAAGTGCTGTGTATATTTCAACATGTGTGTTGGAACGACTATTGCGACAGCTCCATTTTAATGTCGATCATTAAGATCTGTAATTTAACGTAGTGTCAGATAATCTGAACTTATTTCAAGATCATGCAAGAATTAATGTAATTTAAATGAGTTTTCACCATTTATTTTTAAAACTAATTTGTTTTATTGAAGGCATTAAAACGCCTTTTTATACGGGTCATTAACATATAACACATAAGAGCCTTAGTGTAAGTTACAGTTAACTTATTTAAATTTCAAAATTCAATTTCACTTCATTTGAATTTATTATTGATATACATATTTCTTATTCATTTTTTTTGGAATTCACTTCATTTATACGCATTTTTGTTTCATATTTATGTTTTAAGTAAAACTCAGATATTTTAGTTACATAATTCAACTTTGATATGAACTTGACTTCACTTTAAAAATTCTCATTTAAATTTAATGAAAAATATAGTTAGATCTTATTTTTAAGGATCTGCTTTTTTATTTCACAATGTCATTTGTTCTCCATAGAATTCTTATTGCTTTATGTATTTTTACTCCAAAATTGGCTTTCACTTGTCTTATTTTCTTCGTTTTAAATAAGAAAAACTAAAATTGTTCTTCACTTTAATTCAACCAATTGCTTCTCTATTAATTTCGTTATACATATATATATATAATTTGAATTATCATAAGATGAAATTCACTTTGCAAAATTTGCATAACATTCAGAATGAAATCTGCTTCGGATTCACATTCAGATTTATTGCTTAATATCTGCAACCAAATTAATTGGATTTATTTCATTCACCCTTAAATTAGATTTTCATTGGGATCACCTCAGTGTAGGATTTGCAATGCAACTTACTTTAAGACACCGTTAGTTTATTTAACGCGTCGCAACAAATTAAATCAATTTAAATTGTGCTTCACTTTCGATTTCACTGTATAAATTTTTCTTTATGTTCGCGCTGTTTCGTTAGGCTTTTGCGCTAATTTCGTTGTATCGAGGCATTCGTAAAACCAAAAAACTATAACAAATTATAACATCACATGCGGAGGGTAACAAAAACATTAATCTAAATTCGCTTAATTTTCTGCTTGACTTTGCGCACGTCTGAGTTTTACCGCGAAACTGCTGCGCCCAGCGTCTTTTCTTTAACATTTATAAACTCGGCAAACTCGAAACGCAGCACGTGAACAGGTAGCGGCGACCGCAACAGCAGCAGCAGCAGCAGCACTCACAGCATCAGCAGCCGCAGCAGCAGCAGCAGCAGCTGTAAAAAGATTCAGCGACAATAACAATAACAACACCAACAAGAGAGCGTAAGACCTCATCAATGCGAACCCATCAAAACAAAACATTTTTAGTCGCTTGGTTACTTTTTTTTTCGTAGCTCCCTTAAACTATTTGTTGTAATTGCTGTACGTGTGTCTGTCTCTCCTATCTCTCTGTCCTCCTGTCCTGCATTTACCGGCGCGCATGTCATTTAGCTTGCGATGTACAAGGTGACCTGGTCGTTCTTGTTTACCATTGCCAGAGAATTCTCATCCTGTTCGTTCACTGACTTGATAATGAACATTTTGTACTTGCTGAACGTTAATTAACCGTAAATTATAGAATTAATTTTCAGTTTTAGATCAAGTGTATCAATTATAATAAACGAGCGGCTTAACTTTTAAAATTAGCATTTTAAATTTCATTATATAAAGTAGGAAACAGACACCAAGAAGGAGAAAGGGGGATGTTGTTAATGAGCTGCTAAGAGAGAGAGAGAGAGATAGAGAGAGAGAGGTACGGAAATAAGTAGGGACATTGATCGATGTAGAGTACGATAAGATTTTAATTGAAAAATATTCTGCAAAGCAAGTTTGAGAGTATTAAAGCAAGAGAGAAAATACTTATGTTACTTAATTCAAATAAAGTGAAAGTACTATTTGAACAAAAGCCTATTGAGCGCGCAACATTAGCAAACAGCTGGCAACGCTCTTCAACCTGCTTTTCAAATCAGTGCGGTCACACTCAAATCAAGTGGCAGCACTGCAGCCAGGGTTGCGCTGGAACTTGCAAACAATGTCAATCGCTATCGGCAGTCAGAGCAGGTTGAGAAACCATTATAAAATAGCAAAAATTGAAGTGAGATGACGCGAAAAATAAAATCGTCATAAAAATAATTTTAGAAAATAATAATAATAATAATATGTAACGACGCGCAAACGACAATGATAAAACGGTGCAATTGCTAAACGAAATAGAGTCTAAAACGAGAACAAATACTGCGCAGCATAAAAATCCAGCTTCAGGAAAAGAGTCATAAAAATCGATTCTCCAACAAAAAGTCACAGTCCACACAGTCAAGAAACGGCCAAGAGGGAGACTTTTCGCGCGGGCGTCGGTGGAGCGCCCAGTGCTTGTATCTTTTTTTCTCTCTTCTTTTTCGCCTGCTTACTTGCCAAAAGTCCAGCGAAGACACTGCGTGTTCGTGTATGTGTGTGTGCGCGCCTTATATTTGTCTGCAAAAACAAAATCAAATGCAGGATAAACTAATCAACGTAATTAGGAGACAGCAGTAATATAATTTAAGGCAAATATTTAAACGTCTGCCCAAATAATAACGCGTGCAAATACAGTTGAATTCCAGTACACACCAGCCACAACAATAATAAAAATAATAATAGTGTCTACATATGTGAGTGTGTGTGCGTGTGCGTATTTGTGTAATAAATAGCGCAAGTCAAGAATGAAATGGAAACAGCTCCCCCACTACATGACGTACCTCTGCCACAATAATAACAACAACAAATACAGCTATAGCTCCATTTACAGTTACTTTTAGGCGTGTGCGTGGCGCTAATTGAAACGCTCACTATTCCAGGCTCTCTAGCGCCCATCCTCCCCCTCGCCTTTGTGACTCACCTGCCTGCCTAACAAAATATATTAGATTGCGTGTCACACACATAATTCTCAGTGAGCTCAATAAAGAGAAGTGAAAAAAAAATACAAAATATCAGCGAACTTAAACAACAAGAATACCGTCCCAGCCATATCCCTTTATGCGTATATATATATATGTATATGTATTGAGTTTTGGTGGTTGCATGATTCACCCACTGAACTACTCAAAGCATAGGCGTCAAAGCGTCTAATTAAAAGTGAGAGTATATATATATTAAAAAGGCCTACAAGATGTCAAGTGATAAGATCAAAGTTGCTGTGCGGGTGCGACCCTTCAATCGGCGCGGTAAGTAATATTGAAAATACAAAAACAAAAAGAAATTGTAACGGTAAAGCTAAAACCAAGTACCCAGCGGTCTGCGTCTATGCAGTAGCTGGCAGGGCTTCCTTTCAGCTTTGTCTCTTTTGTCTGCGCTGCAATCAATAATGCATAAGTCAGCTGAATGTACACACACATATATATGTATGTATGTATGTTTCTCTATATACATATATTTATATGTGTGTTGTATACCTTTATAAAGTGTGCTTGTGCTTGTGCTTGTACTTTATTTTTGGGGATAACAAAATTTGCATAGAGTCGCGAGCTTAGCTGTTTTTCTTTGCCCTTGCTAAGGGTATGACGGAGCAGCACAAACGAGTGTGTGTGTGTGTGTGTGTGTAGGTGTGATTACAAGTGTATTATAAGTAGCACAACACATACAAATAAGCTATATAGTTTATGGCTCTAAGTGGGGTGTTTGGAGTATCTGGAAGTATTTGCCTCTATCCTACTACTACAATTTTTCCACTCAAACTAATCTCTTCCGTTTTCAAGCTATCTTAATGTAACTTGGTGATGTTGACAGCTTTTATATTGTACTCTGCGGATGACTGTACAGTATAAACCTTCTAAAACGTAAACTGGAGCATGGTTGACTAATTGTCAAATCAATATATGTGATTCGGCTGAACTAATATATGTATTATATACTGAAGCAAAGAAACATATAAATATATATAGAATTATATATAATATACTCGAAATATACATTATATACTTATATCTTCAATACTTGTTCTTAACCAAGTTAATCTCTTATATCTTAGCAAACATCTTGACAAAACCTTGACAATTATAAATATGTTTGTCGCCGTTAGCGCTATCAAAATTATATAAATACATAAAAGTTGGGGTTTTTCCTAAAAATATGCATATTTGATAAACTTAAATCCTTGGAGCTCTACTAATTTTTGAAATGTGTGCGATTTATCATCGATATTTGCTATATTTAGTATAGAAAAATATATATGCCGGAAGTAAAGCTTTAAGAAGTGTTAGTCATATATCAACTAGGGTATTTCGACTTCGTTAGCCCTTCAGTATAGATGGGTTTTGCGTTCTTGTTTCTCATGCAAATGCTGTTTCCTTTGCAAAGGTCGCCTCGTTTTTCAATGCAACGCCAGCAACTTTTTTTTTTTTGCAATGGCCAGCCTTGCAGAGCGTCTAACTGACTGGCTAACTGACTGACTGAGTGAGTGAGTGAGTGAGTGACTGGCTGGCTGTCGTAACAAACGCTTTACATTTCCAGCTAATTTTTCATGAGGTGAAAATGACGACGCGAGTGTTGCAAGTGCTGCAAGCAAAGCAAAGCAAAGCACAGCAAAGGCAATTGCAAATATATATAAAAGCCAAACATCGCGTTTCCACTTGGCCAATGTCAACGGCGATCATTCATTTGGCTTATCCATGACTCACACACAAACATACTCATACACACACACACACACACAGTCAGTAGGCAATGCAACGGAAATGTGGACTCTATGGGGGGAGGGAGACTCTGCAGCGGCATTCAATTTGCGCCCCTTTGGCAAGTGGAAGTCATTTGCCATTTGCCATTTACTTTTCGCATGTGTTTTTTATTTTTTTTTTACTTATTTATTTTGTATTCTGTATTTTGTCATGTTTTGTGTATCGCTGGTTCCTTTTGCTCTGCTTCCATCTGCTGCTATTTCCACTCACACTCACACAGTCACTTCTTTATTAGGGGCCGCTTTATGTCATGCCCCCCTCTATGCGCTTGATTCACTCTCAAGTCATGGGAGAGAGAGAGAGCGAATATGTGTGTGTACATGTGTGAATGTGTGAATGTCCGATTGATAAGCGGAACAAGGTACATTCATACATAGTTATGCGCGTCACTCTTATCGGCCTGTTGATAAGGACTGATATACACGCATATTTGTACTATTAATATTTAGTATAATATACTATATAGCCATATTTATTACACACGTAATCGCTTAGTTTTTCCCATCAATTTTTTTTTGTAATTAATTTGCTTTTGACATCTTACGCATCGTTCCGCTTTTCGGCCATATTGCTGTTGACGAACGACCTCTTCATAAGTCACAAAGCGTAAAGTAAAAACTTTATAGAAATACACACATACACATAATTCACAGCAAACACACACACACAGACACACATTGAGGTAACGCAAACAGTTGCGCTTGAAATGAAGTCACAGCGCGAAAGCAACCAAAAAGCTTAACCTGTTTTTCCCTGCCTGCTGACCAAATGTCTATCCAAATCTCTCTATGTGTGTGTGTGTGAGTGAGTGTGCGTTGGTGTGTATATGTTAATTTCAACATTGTACAATGGCAAACGCGTCTGCCACAGTTTCAGGTTAAGTTGAAGAAATGTCCAAATCAACTGAACTGAACAGCGAATCAAAACGCTTCAGCCTCAGCTGGCCAACTGACCAAAACTCAATTCACAATTGGGGGCAGCCCATCAAATAATTTATAGCAATCCACTGTTACGGCCAACACACACACACACACAGAGAGACGCACAGAAGCCACAACAACTCGTTGATGGGCCCTGTTGATGTGTGTCCTTTGTGGTTTCTCCAACATTCTCAATATCTCAACTCTGGCTGCTCTGCCCTGGCCTGGCCTTTGGCCAATGTCCTGCGTGTCATGTCGGCTTTGGTTTTGCAACGGAAGTGACTGTTGTGTGTATGTGTGTGTGTGTGTGTGTTTTGTATGCACGCAGATGTTAGCCATATGCATGTAAAGTACAGTAAAGCCTGGCCAAGGCAAATCACTTCTCGCGAAACGTTTACAATTTAATTTGAGGTCATATGAACATATTTGAGTACAATTTATAAAACATCTAGAAAACTTGTTACATTATCCACTAAATTTCTTTCGGTGAGCTGCTTGTGTGCTCAGTTGGAGCTATGCCCCAGTAGAGTTTATATGCAGCTATGTTTAATAATTCATAATATAGGTCTACCCACCGACCTGTTTTGGGGGAGTTGGGCGAAATGTGTACCAGACTTGACTTGAATATGTATGTGCTACTTATACCAGAGAGCCACACAACAAATGGCATGTCTTTAGCTATTCTAGTTTACGAGTTCGATGAGGTTGAATAGAGAAATAGGCCCATCAATATGCTATAACTAGTCAGCGCTTACAGCAAGTGGGAGCTATT